CCTCACTATCTCATAAAAACTCTTTACAGCATTTAATAACTTACCACCTATTCCATATACTTGCAACATCTGCCACATTGCTCCTCTATCCACTCTATCATATGCCTTTTCTAAATCCATAAATGCAATAAAAACTTCCCTACCTTTATCTAAATACTGTTCACATATATGCTTCAATGTAAACACTTGATCTACACATCCCCTACCCACTCTGAAACCTCCTTGCTCATCCGCAATCCTACATTCTGTCTTACCTCTAATTCTTTCAATTATAACCCTACCGTACACTTTTCCTGGTATACTCAGTAAGCTATTATAGATATTATTGCTATAACAGAGACCTGGCTCAATCTGAAAGATAGAGAGATGCCCTCTGAATGTCACATACAAAGGCTATAAATTATTCCACACTGACAGGGTCAACAGGAAAGGTGGTGGAGTAGCGATGTATGTCAGAGACAATTTAAATTGTTGTGTTAGACAAGATATTAAATTAGAAGCGTCAGCCACTGAATCTGTTTGGTTACAGCTTCTCGAGGGCCGAGAAAAACTAATTTTGGGTGTGATTTACAGGGCCCCAAATCTTGATAGGGAGTGCAGTAAACTTCTATGGACGAAATTCGTAAGGCATCTACATACGAAAATGTTGTGCTAATGGGAGATTTCAACTATAGACAGATTGACTGGAGCAATTTGACAGGAAATTTAGAGTCAGGTGACTTTCTTGATACGATCCAGGATTGTTTTTAAAACAGTTTGTGACAGAGCCAACTAGGGGAAATAACCTCCTTGACTTGGTTCTTGCCAGTAGGGAAACACTAATTAATAATCTTGAGGTTAATGATGAGCTTGGGGAAAGTGATCACAAATCACTCAGTTTTAATATATCATGGAATTCCCCTAATAATGGCAATCAAGTCTCCGTCCCTGACTTTCGCTTGGCTGATTTCATAGGACTGAAAAATTACTTAGGTGGGCTGAACTGGAATGACCTGACTAAGGGTCAGGTAGGTGGTGATGGTTGCCGATATGATGCTTTCCAGGGCATAGTTCCAGCTGCTCAGTCAAATTATGTTCCAAATAGGGAAATCAGATCAAACAAAAATGATCCTAAATGGATGAACAATAGATTAAAATATCTGATTGGTCAAAAGAGAGGCATATATAGGCAAATCAAAAGAGGAGAGGGCAATTGAGAAATCGATATATTCAGTTAAAGAGAGAAATAAAAAAGGGAATTAGAAAAGCAAAAAGAGATTATGAGGTTAAAGTTGCAAGAGAATCGAAGACTAACCCAAAAGGATTCTTTCAGGTATACAGAAGTAAGATCAGGGACAAGATAGGCCCACTCAAAAGTTCCTCGGGTCAGCTCACTGACAGTGATAAGGAAATGTGTAGAATTTTTAACACATACTTCCTCTCAGTTTTTACACAGGAGGATACCAGCGATATTCCAGTAATGATAAATTATGTAGAACAGGACGATAATAAACTGTGTACTATTAGGGTCACAAGTGACATGGTCCTTAGGCAAATAGATAAATTAAAACCTAACAAATCCCCAGGCCCTGATGAACTGTATGCAAGGGTTCTAAAGGAATGTAAAGAGGAGCTTAGCACACCTTTGGCTAATCTTTTCAACATATCACTACAAACTGGCATGGTGCCAGATAAGTGGAAAAATGGCAAATGTGATACCTATTTTCAAAACAGGTGACAGGTCCTTAGCTTCGAACTATAGACCAATAAGCCTAACCTCCATAGTGGGAAAATTTATGGAATCAATAATTGCCGAGGCAGTTCGTAGCCACCTTGAAAGCATAAATTAATCAACGAATCTCAGCATGGTTTTACAAAGGGGCGTTCCTGCCTTACGAATTTATTAACTTTTTTCACTAAGGTATTTGAGGAGGTAGATCATGGTAATGAATATGATATTGTGTATATGGACTTCAGTAAGGCTTTTGACAGGGTCCCACATCAGAGACTATTGAGGAAAATTAAAGCACATGGAATAGGAGGAGAAATTTTTTCCTGGATAGAGGCATGGTTGACAAATAGGCAGCAGAGAGTTTGCATAAATGGGGAGAAATCAGAGTGGGGAAGCGTTACGAGCGGTGTTCCACAGGGTCAGTGTTGGGCCCCCTGCTGTTCACAATCTACATAAACGACATAGATGAGGGCATAAAGAGCGACATCGGCAAGTTTGCCGATGACACCAAAATAGGCCGTCGAATTCATTCTGACGAGGACATTCGAGCACTCCAGGAAGATTTGAATAGACTGATGCAGTGGTCGGAGAAGTGGCAGATGCAGTTTAATATAGACAAATGCAAAGTTCTAAATGTTGGACAGGACAATAACCATGCCACATATAAACTAAATAATGTAGATCTTAATATTACGGATTGCGAAAAAGATTTAGGAGTTCTGGTTAGCAGTAATCTGAAACCAAGACAACAGTGCATAAGTGTTCGCAATAAAGCTAATAGAATCCTTGGCTTCATATCAAGAAGCATAAATAATAGGAGTCCTCAGGTTGTTCTTCAACTCTATACATCCTTGGTTAGGCCTCATTTAGATTATGCTGCACAGTTTTGGTCACCTTATTACAGAATGGATATAAATTCTCTGGAAAATGTACAAAGGAGGATGACAAAGTTGATCCCATGTATCAGAAACCTTCCCTATGAGGATAGACTAAGGGCCCTGAATCTGCACTCTCTAGAAAGACGTAGAATTAGGGGGATATGATTGAGGTGTATAAATGGAAGACAGGAATAAATAAAGGGATGTAAATAGTGTGCTGAAAATATCTAGCCTAGACAGGACTCGCAGCAATGGTTTTAAGTTGGAAAAATTCAATTCAGGAAGGATATAGGAAAGTACTGGTTTTGGTAATAGAGTTGTGGATGAGTGGAACAAACTCCCAAGTACCGTTATAGAGGCCAGAACGTTGTGTAGCTTTAAAAATAGGTTGGATAAATACATGAGTGGATGTGGGTGGGTGTGAGTTAGACCTGATAGCTTGTGCTACCAGGTCGGTTGCCGTGTTCTTCCCTTAAGTCAATGTGACCTGACCTGACTAGGTTGGGTGCATTGGCTTAAGCCGGTAGGAGACTTGGACCTGCCTCGCATGGGCCAGTAGGCCTTCTGCAGTGTTCCTTCGTTCTTATGTTCTTATGTTTAATATATTTATAGATGGGGTTGTAAGAGAAGTAAATGCGAGGGTCTTGGCAAGAGGCGTGGAGTTAAAAGATAAAGAATCACACATAAAGTGGGAGTTGTCACAGTTGCTCTTTGCTGATGACACTGCTCTTGGGAGATTCTGAAGAGAAGTTGCAGAGATTGGTGGATGAATTTGGTAGGGAGTGCAAAAGAAGAAAATTAAAAGTGAATACAGGAAAGAGTAAGGTTATGAGGATAACAAAAAGATTAGGTGAAGAAAGATTGGATATCAGATTGGAGGGAGAGAGTATGGAGGAGGTGAATGTATTCAGGTATTTGGGAGTGGACGTGTCAGCAGATGGGTCTATGAAAGATGAGGTGAATCATAGAATTGATGAGGGGAAAAGGGTGAGTGGTGCACTTGGGAGTCTGTGGAGACAAAGAACTTTGTCCTTGGAGGCAAAGAGGGGAATGTATGAGAGTATAGTTTTACCAACGCTCTTATATGGGTGTGAAGCATGGGTGATGAATGTTGCAGCGAGGAGAAGGCTGGAGGCAGTGGAGATGTCATATCTGAGAGCAATGTGTGGTGTGAATATAATGCAGAGAATTCGTAGTTTGGAAGTTAGGAGGAGGTGCGGGATTACCAAAACTGTTGTCCATAGGGCTGAGGAAGGGTTGTTGAGGTGGTTCGGACATGTGGTAGAGAATAGAGCGAAACAGAATAACTTCAAGAGTGTATCAGTCTGTAGTGGAAGGAAGGCGGGGTAGGGGTCGGCCTAGGAAAGGTTGGAGGGAGGGGGTAAAGGAGGTTTTGTGTGCGAGGGGCTTGGACTTCCAGCAGGCATGCGTGAGCGTGTTTGATAGGAGTGAATGGAGACAAATGGTTTTTAATACTTGACGTGCTGTTGGAGTGTGAGCAAAGTAACATTTATGAAGGGGTTCAGGGAAACCGGCAGGCCGGACTTGAGTCCTGGAGATGGGAAGTACAGTGCCTGCACTCTGAAGGAGGGGTGTTAATGTTGCAGTTTAAAAACTGTAGTGTAAAGCACCCTTCTGGCAAGACAGTGATGGAGTGAATGATGGTGAAAGTTTTTCTTTTTCGGGCCACCCTGCCTTGGTGGGAATCGGCCAGTGTGATAATAAAAAAAAAATAATAACCAACCACTCCAACACTATATCTGCCCCCTGCTTTTAACATTTCTGTCATGATCCCGTTAGTTCCAGCTGCTTTACCCCCTTTCATTTTACGTAATGCCTCACACTCCTCCCCTACACTCACATCCTGTTCTTCTTCACTCCTAAAAGATGGTATACTTCCCTGACCAGTGCATGAAATTACCGCTTCCCTTTCTTCATCGACATTTAAAAGTTCCTCAAAATATTCTCGCCATCTACCCAAAACTTCCATCTCCCCATCTACTAACTCCCCTACTCTGTTTTTAACTGGCAAATCCATTCGTTCTCTAGGCTTTCTTAACTTGTTTAACTCACTTCAAAATTTTTTCCTTTTTTCATTAAAATTTCTTGACAGTGCGTCTCCCACTCTATCATCTGCTCTCCTTTTGCACTCTCTCACCACTGTCTTTACCTTTCTTTTACTCTCCATATACTCTACTCTTCTTATAATGCTTCTGCTTTGTAAAAACCTCTCATAAGCTAACTTTTTCTCTTTTATCACACCCTTTACTTCATCATTCCACCAATCACTCCTCTTTCCTCCTGCTCCCACCCTCCTATAACCACAAACTTCTGCCCCACATTCTAATACTGCATTTTTAAAACTATTCCCATGCATATAATAATAATTAATAGCAAGTTCTCTCTGTTAGTTTGTAGTGAAGCGTCTCCTGGAGAAGTGTGGGGAATATGTAACCACGAAGCAGAGTAGCCTGACACAGTGGCATCCTGTACTCGGTTGGTTCTCTCGACCCCTTGACCAGCACCTCAATGAATCTTTAACGTTGGTCAAGTCACAGCTGCAGCTCCTGTGGTCAGGCTCAATCATTAGAGTTATGTTTTCATGTCTTTCTGACCTTATGGCAGATCAGGTTAGTAATATTCATTCGTTCTTCTGAGAGGTGTGACCAATAATGAATGATATACTAAAATATTATGATTATATTGACACATTGGTGTATGTACGTATTCTGATTGAATGTGCATAATTTTACAAAAACAGAAAATGCATATTGAATGAATGGGTATAACTGTAGAGATACAGAATAATTAAAAAAAAAGTGGGTGAACATGTCTCTGAGTGATTCTTATTTAACCCTTAAACTGTCCAAGCGTAGATCTACATTTGCACGCGTAGCGCTCCGAACATATAGATCTACGTTCAATTTTACATTGTTTCTTATGTTAAAAAAAAATATATCTACGTTTGGAGCACTACACGTGCAGACGTAGAGCTACGTTTGGACAGTTTAAGGCTTAATGAACAATGGTTATCATTTCCACAGTTTATCATTATGAAAACCGTGATGCATAGAAATCATGTAAAGTACTTGTATAGACAAATACAATATATAGAAATGGTTGTCTTTTAGTAATTTGGAACTATAACTTGTGGCTCAGTGATTATTGCCAGCGACATATAGTGGCATTTACTTACTAAATATTACCTGTGCCTTCCATCAGGAACCACAGTCAAATGACTCCAACAGCAATTCAGGAGTTACTGCAACTTCAACCACCTCCTCCTTGAGCAATGCAGGTTCCATTACACCTTCGAATCTCTTGAAGAAGGTACTGGAACGTAAACTTAGTTGTACTGTTACTGGAGGGGGCCTTAGAAGTGGAGGTCTACGAGGTGGAGGTTGTCGGAAACTAGGTTCCCCAACAGTGTCCACTGTGGCCATAGTGTGTTCTATGTACCACACAGCAATAACAACTCTATCTCAACTAAGAATGGATATTCTTACAGGTAAGTAATTTCACACGTCTTCTTTCCTCTGCGTTGAATTAAGTCTGAATTCAAAAGACTTTTGCAACATAATTCAAGCCGCATGTAGTTAACATGAACATCTGTATTGGGCAGAACAAAGTTACAAAGTTAGTGTATCTGGCCATGTTTTCTTGTAATTTACATTGTTTATTTTGCATGATCTAAAGCATTGTGTTCAAATACATCTTTTTTTTTTATAAGAGGTATTACACTAATTCACCATTATTGAATCTTCTGTTCTGCTATCCAAAACACTGTTAATGTTTGAACATGATTTCTAGGCTGTTAATGTTTGAACTTGATTTCTAGGCTGTTAATGTTTGAACTTGATTTCTAGGCTGTTAATGTTTGAACTTGATTTCTAGGTTTATGCTACAAGAGTGATATGGTGCCTCAACTCTGGCATATCCTGCTGTCACTTGGTCCATCCTGTGGAATCAAGAATTACTTAGACCTGCTTTCAGTGTCAACAAAAGCTACAGCACCTGAATTCCACTTACTCATCCTTTTCTGTGATGCAACCACTCATCTTGTTACGTAAGTTTCGTAATGTTTTTCATTTCAGATTTGCTCTTTCTTAGTATTTCTTTTATTTCTTTAGTGTTCTTGTGTATTTGAAGCATACAGAAATGCATACAGTATTTGACTGATTATATTGAGTTTAGCTTCTTTGTTGCATCATGTGGTTTCTCAGTTGGTTGATTCCTAATACCTCTAATTTTTTTCATGGAAAAAAATAAAGTGCTTATTTAAGCTCTTTCATTACTTTTTTAATAAGAAGAGACCATAGGGTTTCCTGTATCTAAATTATCCTAAAAAAAATTATTGAAACTTATTTTTTTTATATGCGTTATGTGAAAGTATATTGACCTAGGTACTGTAAGTTGATTGGGGTTGAAAGTGTTCCATGTTGGTTATTACATTATTATATGTACAGTAGGTGTACTAAATATGCATGGGCACAAGTACACCTTTAGCAGACTATTTGCTGACAGTTTTGAGAAGTGCTAGGGCAACTTTTGTATGTAAAGCTGTGCCCCTTGCCATACTGCCAAAGACACAGTTGCCTAATGATTGTGAAATTTCAGTCTTTAATGACTAGCCTTATAATTCACCAGACATAAATCAGATAGCGAACATGTGGAACCTAATTGAGTGTCAGCTTCATGGCATGGATGTGTCCACTATTCCCAAACACTCAAGTGCCATTAAAGCAGCTGTGGGAGGGTACTGACTCTTCTATCCTCCATACTTTAGCTTTATCAGTGCTTATGAGATTTAAGGAGAGCATCAAGAAGGGTAATCCTATGAAATACTAGGCTAGGTGACTAACATACACACATTTCAGTATTTTATGTTCAAAATAGTAATTGATAATGAGCCTTCTCTTTAACTGTATGATGATTAGTATATATTTTACATGATGATTACTGTATATATTTTATTATTATACCCAGTATAAAACAGTTTTGATTTAAGCTATTCATGGATACTGTACATACACAGTAATAAATACTACCTGGTATCTACTACACCCAGCATTGGTGAATTTTGTTGAAAATTAAAATAAACTATAATTTTTTTTTTCAACAAATCGGCCATCTCCCACTGAGGCAGGGTGACCCAAAAAGAAAGAAAATCCCCAAAAAGAAAATACTTTCATCATCATTCAACACTTTCACCTCACTCATACATAATCACTGTCTTTGCAGAGGCAATGAGATGTGACAGTTTAGAAGTCCCTCCAAACTGTCAGTATCCTAGATCCCTCCTAAATTTAAAGTTCAGGCATTGTACTTCCCATTTCCAGGACTCAAGTCTGGCTAAATCTATAATAACTGGTTTCCTTGAATCCCTTCACTAAATATTACCCTGCTTACACTCCAATAGCTCATATACTGAAAAAGTATGATACAGTTAATAATGTTGAAAGAGTTTGTCCTGTGTAGTTGGAGCATAGCACTGTGGGTGTAATAAGTGGGGCACTTGGCATCTTAGTTTACTAGGTTTAAAGCCTGTTGATGCAAGACTATCATTGAGGCCACGTTTCACCCAGACATTAATATCAAGGATACTTTTAATCCATACCTTAACATATATATACATATACACACACTAAAGTGTACATAATGTGATGGTAGATTTAGTTAACTACATTATTTCAGGATCACTTCACATGAGGATGCTGGAGGAACTTACGTGAGGGTTGATGTAAGCACTTTGAAAAACTGAATGGTAACAAAATGTTCTGACCATTATCACATCTCTGTTTTAGTCTGCACTTTTATCAAAGTCATAACCCCACCAGAAGTTTTTCATTTTTTCACCTGGGTCCTATTCCAAACATGTTTTCACAATAAATTAATACTCAATGCATCAATTGAACTAAGTCAATAAAAGCTGGCTCATGTATGTCTTCATTTTCACAATGTTCATAATGAAATGCTGTACTGTACACTACATTCATATTAATTAATAAAAAGAAATCTGTACTAGGTTAGGGATAAAAAAAAATAGCCTTGACAGGATATCACTTACCCAATAGAATACAGACAAGGGATTTTCATCACCAATGGAATGGTATGTGGTTAATAGACAAAAAAAAAAAGCATAATAAATGCTATATTTATACATGTTACATTTTCAGGGTTCTGGATGATTTAGAGATGTACGAACAACAAAAGCCTTTCACTCTTGCTGACTACTCAACTATGGCATCATTTCTTAACAACTTCACTTACAAGGTATATTAATTTTTGTATATGATACATTGATCTTAGTATCCTGTTGGTCCTTGCAGGTTTTTGTTGTTAACCCTTTCTGGGTCCGTCCAGTAGATCTACGGCTTTACGTTCAGGGTCCAAACCGTAGATCTACGTCATGAGCTCAGCTCACTCTGATAAACTGTGAGTGGTAAATTTGGGCCTAGATATGAGAGAATACATCTATGTGGTATGTGTGCACCACATAAAACAAATCCTGCAGCACACTGTGTATAATGAGAGAAAAAAACTGAGACCGTGATTTTCGATTAAAACAGCGACTTTGCAGTATTTTTTCGTATGTTTTTTATAGTTGTATTTGTGATTTCTTGGTCTCATTTGATAGAATGGAAGACATATTACAGAAGTAGAGATAATTTTGATTGGTTTTAGCACTGGAAATGGCTTGAAACTGAGCTCAAAGTGGCGGAAATGTTAAATTTTTGCCGATGTTCAAGAGTAAACAAACGACCTCACACGTCTAATACACGCCAGCTTGTGGGTCTAATATACATTCACAAATGTGGTGATGATATTTATACAATTATTACAATATTGCATAACAGTAAATCTTCTATTTTTTGGTGTGAATAAAAATTCATTATGTGAATAAAAAATCAAAATGGAATTTATTTGTAAAGCCTCAAAACATAACTAATGAACAGAGGAAATGTTTGCTTAGTGCCAGGAATGCCTACATTGTTTATTCTGGACCCTATTTTGAAATTTTAATATTTTGAACTGTGTTAAATTGGCCAAATTACCAATTTCCGGTCACTTTATTTTGTAGTTGAAACAGTTGACTTGGCGATTTCTTGTGCTCAATTGATAGAATAGAAGTAATACTAGTGAAATAGCTAAGAATTTGGTCGACTGGAATAATGTAATTGGCCGAAAATGGGAGTCAAAGTCAGCAAAATCACCGATTCGTAAATGTCGCTGACACATCAAAATTCACGAGAGCATAATTTCGTCAATTTTCCATCAAATTTCATACTTTTTGTTTTATTACATTCACAAAAAGATTCTCTACCATTTCATAAGAAAAAATAACAATTTTTTTTTTTAAATTCTTGGACACTGGGGCACCACTTCAGATTTTGGCCTTGGACCCTGAAAGGGTTAAAGGATCAGTGCTTGTCCCATTTTTAGTACACTGCAGTATTTAGTGTGTATCCCATTCCAGTTGTCTTCTTGTATTTGTGAAGACATTTCTTCAAATTTCTCTGATTTTTTGCTGTAAAGGATATTTCTGACTGAAATTGGCACCTTCTCACATATAACTGAACTGTAGTATTGGCGCAACTCTGGCAAGACAGTGATGAAGTGAGTGACAGTGAAAGTGTTTCTTTTTCAAGATGCCCTACCATGGTGGGAGATGGCTGGTGTGTTAACCCCTTGACTGTCACAACCCCAAATCTTGAGGTGTCTCCTGGTGTCGAAAAATTTTTGAAAAAAAAAAATCTTATGAAATGATAGAGAATCTTTTCCCGATGGTAATGACACCAAAAGAACGAAATTTGATGGAAAACTGACGGAATTACGTTCTCAAGAAGTTAGCGACCTCGGCGATATTTACAAATCAGCGATTTCACCCACTTTGAGCCCTATTTTCGGCTAATTCCATTGTTCCGGTCGACCAAACTCATAGCTATTTCTTTAGAACTCCATCTTTTCTATTGATTGAGTACAAGAAACTGCCCATTTACCGATTTCAATTACCCAATAACATGGCCAGAAATTTGCAATTTTGCCAATTTCACGAAAATTAAAAAATATGACAATTTCAAAATAGGCCCAGAATGAACAATGCAGACATTCCTGGCTCTAATATAGCATTTTCTTTGTTCATCAGTCATGTCTCCAGGCCCATCTGATATTACTCTTGCTTTCTATTTTGAATTTTTATTCAAACAAAAAATAGAAGATTTACTGTTATGCAGACTACTGCAATATTGTAATAATTGTATAAATAATGTCAACCCATTCATGACTGCATATTAGAATGGCTACTTGGACATTTATTGGACAATGACATCATTTGTTTACTTTTGAACATCGGCAAAAATCAAACATTCCCCTTACTTTGAGCTCCATTTCAAGGTTCTTTTCATAGTAAAACCAATCAAAATCACCTCTATTTCTATAATATGTTTTCCATTCTATCAAGTGAGACCAAGAAAACGAGAATACAACCATAAATACTATACGAAAATAGACCACAAAGTTGCCATTTTAATTATAAAAAACGGTCGTAGCTTTTTTTTCTCATTATGCACTGCGTGCTGCAGGATTTTTGTTTATATGGTGCACACAGACCAATTCTCTCACATGTGGGCCTACCAGCTTTCTCCTGCTTGATTTGAAGCCGCTAGAATTTATGAGTATACGTATATACATCAAACATAGTGGCTCATAAGACGTATTTATATGACCGAAACAGTCCAAGGGTTAAAGAAAAAAATTATGTAAGGCAGTGGTGCAAGCTGGCTAGTATCTTGCACATGGCATGTGCAGTCAGTTTCAGGTTATATTTGTAATTTTATAGGTAAATTCTTAATATTTTAATTACAATCATTCTGGACCACAGTTTGTATTTGAAATACAGTGGACCCCCGCATAACGATGGCATCACATAGCGATTATTTCGCATACCGCTTACTTTAATTGCAAAAATTTTGCCTCGCATACCGCTTAAAAACCCGCTTACCGATTTTCGTCCGAGACGCGTCCAATGTGCGGCCTGAGCCACGCTCACATGTTCCGCCGGTGGCATTGTTTACCAGCCAGCCTCCGCGGTAACATCCAAGCATACAATCGGAATATTTCGTATTATTACAGTGTTTTCGGTGCTTTTTCTGGAAAATAAGTGACCATGGGCCCCAAGAAAGCTTCTAGTGCCAACCCTACAGCAATAAGTTTGAGAATTACAATAGAGATGAAGAAAAAGATCATTGATAAGTATGAAAGTGGAGTGCATGTCTCCGAGCTGGCCAGGTTGTATAATAAACCCCAATCAACCATCGCTACTATTGGTGGTACAGCTGCTGCTGCTGCTGCACTGTCAGCTGCTGCTGCTGCTGTAGCACCGTTGTTGGTGTGGCTTATTGAGAATACCAAGAAACAATTAACCCCAGAGGATTTGCCACCCAGGATAACCCAAAAAAGTCAGTGTCATCGAAGACTGTCTAACTTATTTCCATTGGGGTCCTTAATCTTGTCTCCCAGGATGCAACCCACACAAGTCGACTAACACCCAGGTGAACAGGGAAAAATGCCTGGAACTAGTGCTCATATTGGTGAATTTAAAGCCAGCAAAGGTTGGTTTGAGAGATTTAAGAATCGTAGTGGCATACACAGTGTGATAAGGCCTGTTCTGGAAGAAAATGCCAAACAGGACCTACAGTACTCAGGAGGAAAAGGCACTCCCAGGACACAGTGTCTCATCAGTCATTGCTGCATCTTCAATAAAGGTAAGTGTCATTTATTCTTCATTTAGTAGACTAGTACATGCACAATATATACTGTGCATGTACTACTCTACTATTGTGCATGTATCCTTCTCTTTGTGTGTGGGAAAATGTATATTTCATGTGGTAAAATTTTTTTTTTCATACTTTTGGGTGTCTTGCACGGATTAATTTTATTTCCATTATTTCTTATGGGGAAAATTCATTCACATAACGATTATTTCGCATAACAATTACCCCTCTTGCACGGATTAAAATCGTTAACCGGGGGTCCACTGTACTGTATAAATTTTAGCATATGAGTATGAATATGCATACTCTTTTTTTTTTTTTTTTTTTTTTTTTTTTTTTTTTTTTTTTTTTTTTTATCTCCACGTCAGTCTTCTGTCAGGGATGATAAAAAGAAGGAAACACTTTCCATCATGTGCTCAACCACTGTTTTACTAGAAGTTTCCTGACACCACAATTCAGACCTCTCTCCAGCTGTGACATCCCCACCCCTCCTTCAGAGTGCTCAAGTCTGGCTAATTCATTTTCCTGAATCCCTTAATACAAGTTACCTTGCTCACACTCCAACAGCACATCCGTTAACCCTTTCACTATTATGACATCTGAAATTTAAAGCTTCACCAGTGTCCAAATTAAAATAAATAATGTGAGGTAGATAGGTATCTGTAGTTAGATTATTAGGCAGCACAGGAGGGCCCCACTTTACAGCACTTCAGTTTACAGCATTTTGCTAGTGCAGCAGTTTTCAGTTATACCCATTCTTCATTTATTCGGACTTTTTACAATAAATATATTCACAACTCCCTATAAGCTAAGGACAGAAATATTTTAAGGTAAGTAATGTGTGTATTGTATATGCATTTTTTAGGCCTAGCTCTATTGCTCACATATATGATGGTGTAAACATGTTATCAGGCTTTTATATATGCATTTGAAAGTGAAAAAAGGCTTTGTTTCAATTTACAGCAATATTTACTCTTAGCGGTAGCCTGGACTCTAATCTGCTTTATTTAATAATACTGTATTTTAATAATATGTATAAGATTAATCACAGTATCTCTTGCAGATAATTAACAATGGATTGGTTGATGTTCGCAATGTCCAGAATAGTGCCCTCTTTGTCTCTGCACACACACTCCTCATGCTCTTATATAAAAGAAACTCTCGCAGAAGCTATGTACCTGACACACACTGGCTTATTAAGGAGGTGCGCGTATCTGCATTCATGGCTGATCTGGAGCATGGCAAGAGATCTGCACAGGTAGGAATTTTGCTGTTCTTAAAAACAACAATTTGTCATGACTTTTGGTTTTCCAGTTAATTTAAAAAAAAAAATTCTGGTATGATTGTTGCTCTGCATTCTAGCTAGTTGATCAGGATACATCTAAATAGTATTAATGCAGTAGATAGTATTAATACAGTATATAAATGAGTACAAATAGTAAGCATGTCTGTCTTGTTCTCAGCAGACAGAGGATCAAGCCTTCACCGTGTCTTGCACTGAATGACCCACATTTGTTTAACGCTTAACAAGAAGTATTATAGCAACTGTGTCAATTCCTAATTTGATGTTTGCATGCTTTCTAGATGTATCATATCTGTTCTACTCTGTATGCATATATTTTCACCTGAACCTCTGGCAAGACAGTGATAGAGTTAATGATGGTGAAAGTGTTTCTTGTTTTTTTGGGTTACCCTACCTCACTGGGAGCTGGCCAGTTTGTAAAAAAAAAAGAAAATTGAGGTAAAGCAAAATATTGTGTATTTATTAATAATGTATTACATAGCATGTGTCATGGTTATTTTAAAGTCAGAGTACTCAGACAGGCTAATTTTTCTACAATTTTTTTTTTACAGTAAAAACACACACGCACGTGCACATGCATGCACGTATGTATGTATGTCAGTGGTAGGTAATGAATGGGGCTTTGGTCACAGTTCAAAGATGAAGTAGAATTCAGTAATGTAGATGGATCCTAAACAAATGAAGCCAGGACTGCAGAAAAAGGCACATAATTGGATCAAAAGTGCATAGTTACTCATAAATTACAAATATATTTGTATATCTGTCAGTGGTTGTTGTTCTCTAGTAGTTTATTGAATCCCAGCCACAAATGCTTTCAGTAGCTGGGCAGCTGGCACACATACAACTATAGTCTTTAACCCTTTCAGGGTCTGTCCCATAGATCTACGGCTTTACGTTCAGGGTCCAAACCGTAGATCTACGCCATGAGCTCAGCTCACTCTGATAAACTGTGAGTGGTACATTTGGGCCTAGATATGAGAGAATACATCTATGTGGTATGTGTGCACCACATAAAACAGATCCTGCAGCACACTGTGTATAATGAGAGAAAAAAACTTAAATCATGATTTTTCCATTAAAACAGCAACTTTGCAGTGTTTTTTCGTATGTTTTTTATAGTTGTATTTGCGATTTCTTGGTCTCATTTGATAGAATGGAAGACATATTACAGAAATAGAGATGATTTTGATTGGTTTTAGCACTGGAAATGGCTTGAAACTGAGCTCAAAGTAGCGGAAATGTTAAATTTTTGCTGATATTCAAGAGTAAACAAACGACCTCACACGTCTAATACACGTCAGCTGGTGGGTCTAATATACATTCACAAATATGGTGATGATATTTATACAATTATTACAGTATTGCATAACAGTTAAATCTTCTATTTTTTGGTGTGAATAAAAATTCATTATGTGAATAAAAAATCAAAATGGAATTTATTTGTAAAGCCTCAAAACATAACTAATGAACAGAGGAAACGTTAGTTTAGTGCCAGGAATGCCTACATGTTTATTCTGGACCCTATTTTGAAATTGGAATATTTTGAACTTTGTGTTAAATTGGCCAAATTAACAATTTCCGATCACTTTATTTTGTAGTTGAAACAGTTGACTTGGCGATTTCTTGTGCTCAATCAATAGAATAGAAGTAATACTAGTAAAATAGCTAAGAATTTGGTTGATTGGAATAATGTAATTGGCCTAAAATGGGAGTCAAAGTCGGCAAAATCGCCGATTCGTAAATGTCGCTGACACATCAAAATTCGCGAGAGCATAATTTCGTAAATTTTCCACCAAATTTCGTACTTTTTGTTTTATTACCTTCACAAAAAGATTCTCTACAATTTCATAAGAAAAAATAACAAATTTTTTTTTTGAAAATTCTTGGACACTGGTGCGTGACTCCAGATTTGGGCCTTGGACCCTGAAAGGGTTAATGACCATACTGTACTTGGTTATTGCTGCAAAATTAACAAGTTGAAAATCAATCTTACTTACTTTCACCAGTTGAGGCAGATAAATAATATATTCACATTTAGCTTCTTTTCTTCTTGTGAGACTTACTTATTACATTACAAATTTCATTTATTAATGGCTGGTTGGATTACTTTTTTGCTGGAATTATTTTGATACATTTAACTTTTTTCTTTGCAGGTTCTCATGCAAAAAATGCCACACATCATCCCTCACACAGAGCGAGTTTTGTTATTCAGAAAGAACGTTAATAATGAGAAGGCAGTGTTAGGGCTAACGGATGCTGCATGTGCCACACCACATTCCACCCTCATCACAATACATAGGTGAGTCAAAGCACTTAATAAGCACACATTTCTTAAGAGAAATTTTTGATTGTTGCTTTTAAGGGATTCTTTACTGTACTAAATTCTCTTTTCTTTACTTTTTATTGTCAGCAATTTCACTGCATCATTTGAGATGATAAGTAAATCAGTGCAAATGAGTAAGTTTTTAACATCTAGCTCTATCCTACTGTGTGCAGTATTTTTTTGGTCGTAAGTGATAAGTTTGTATGTGGATTGAAACTATTGTCATCATTCTTAATAATGGGTTCTGTAATAGGTGTATACTCTGCAGTTCCTTCAGTGAGAATCTCACCAATAAAAGACTTAAATGTGGATACAGTCATAGTAATACAAATTTGTTGTCTTTATATAGGTAAAGATTTTTTTCCAACAAATTGGCTGTATGCAACCAAGGCAAGGTGAGCTAAAAAGGAAAACAAAAGTTTTTTTCCTTTTAAATATAGTAATTTATACAGGAGAAGGGGTTATTAGCCCCTAGCTCCTGGCATTTTAGTCGCCTCTTACAACATGCATGGCTCACTGAGGGTGAATTCTTTACCAATTTTCCATGGAGATAAGTGGAAATAAAGAAGAGCAAGAACTAGTAAGAAAATAGAAGAAAACCCAGATGGGTGTGTAAATATATATATGTATGTACCATGTGATGAAAGATTGAATATCAGATTGGAGGGAGAGAGTATGGAGGAGGTGAACGTATTCAGATATTTGGGAGTGGACGTGTCAGCGGATGGGTCTATGAAAGATGAGGTGAATCATAGAATTGATGAGGGAAAAAGAGTGAGTGGTGCACTTAGGAGTCTGTGGAGACAAAGAACTTTGTCCTTGGAGGCAAAGAGGGGAATGTATGAGAGTATAGTTTTACCAACGCTCTTATATGGGTGTGAAGCGTGGGTGATGAATGTTGCAGCGAGGAGAAGGCTGGAGGCAGTGGAGATGTCATGTCTGAGGGCAATGTGTGGTGTGAATATAATGCAGAGAATTCGTAGTTTGGAAGTTAGGAGGAGGTGCGGGATTACCAGAACTGTTGTCCAGAGGGCTGAGGAAGGGTTGTTGAGGTGGTTCGGACATGTAGAGAGAATGGAGCGAAACAGAATGACTTCAAGAGTGTATCAGTCTGTAGTGGAAGGAAGGCGGGGTAGGGGTCGGCCTAGGAAGGGTTGGAGGGAGGGGGTAAAGGAGGTTTTGTGTGCGAGGGGCTTGGACTTCCAGCAGGCATGCGTGAGCGTGTTTGATAGGAGTGAATGGAGACAGATGGTTTTTAATACTTGACGTGCTGTTGGAGTGTGAGCAAAGTAACATTTATGAAGGGATTCAGGGAAACCGGCAGGCCGGACTTGAGTCCTGGAGATGGGAAGTACAGTGCCTGCACTCTGAAGGAGGGGTGTTAATGTTGCAGTTTAAAAACTGTAGTGTAAAGCACCCTTCTGGCAAGACAGTGATGGAGTGAATGATGGTGAAAGTTTTTCTTTTTCGGGCCACCCTGCCTTGGTGGGAATCGGCCGGTGTGATAATAAAAAAAAAAAACCATGTGTATGTGACCTAAGTGTAAGTAGAAGTAGCAAGATATACCAGTTATCCTGCATGTTTATGAAACAGAAAAAGACACCAGCAATCCTACCATAATAAACATACATGCATATTTATGATTAACATGAATACTTAAAACTTAAGTTTAGTCCAAAATACAGTACATAAAATTTTTTTTTTTTTCAACAAACTGGCCGTATCCCACCAAGGCAGGGTCGCCCAAAAAGAAAAACGAAAGTTTCTCTTTTTAAATTTAGTAATTTATACAGGAGAAGGGGTTACTAGGCCCTTGCTCCCAGCATTTTAGTCGCCTCTTACAACACACATGGCTTACAGAGGAAGAATTCTGTTCCACTAACCCATGGAGATAAGAGGAAATAAACAAGAACAAAAACTAGAAAGAAAATAGTAGAAAACCCAGAGGGGTGTGTATATATATGCTTGTACATGTATGTGTAGTGTGACCTAGCGTAAGTAGAAGTAGCAAGACGTACCTGAAATCTTTCATGTTTATGAGACAGAAAAAAGACACCAGCAATCCTACCATCATGTAAAACAATTACAGGATTCCGTTTTACACTCACTTGGCAGGACGGTAGTACCTCCCTTGGTGGTTGCTGTCTACCAACCTACTACCTGCAAATAAATTAAATATTAATGCTAATTTAAATAAGTATATAGAATCATTATCAACTTATGCATATATTTTCATATAGTCGGACTTGAGTCCTGGAAATGGGAAGTACAATGCCTGCACTTTAAAGGATGGGTTTGGGATATTGGCAGTTTGGAGGGATATGTTGTGTATCTTTATATGTGTATGCTTCTAGACTGTTGTATTCTGAGCACCTCTGCAAAAACAGTGATAATGTGCGAGTGTGGTGAAAGTGTTGAATGATGATGAAAGTATTTTCTTTTTGGGGATTTTCTTTCTTTTTTGGGTCACCCTGCCTCGGTGGGAGACGGCCAACTTGTTGAAAAAAAAAAAAAAAGCATATATTTTTTTTTTTTCCAGCACTTCTTCCATCTCCCACCAAGGCAGAGTGACCCAAAAAAGAATAAAAACACTTTCACTATCATTCACACTTAATCACCGTCTTTGCAGAGACACCCAGATACGACAGTTCATATGTCACTCCAAACAGCCAACATCCCAAACCCCTCCTTTAAAGTGCAGGCATTGTACTTCCCATTTCCAGGACTTGAGTCCGGCTAACTGGTTTTCCTGAACCCCTTCATTAAATGTTACCCTGCTCACACTCCAACAACTCGTCAGGTCTCAAAAACCAGTCTCCATTCACTCTTATCTAACATGCTCACACATATCTGCTGCATGTCCAAGCCCCTTGCACACAAAACCTCTTTTACAGAGTACAGAGTACCACAGTCAAACATTTTTCACTTTAGTGAAAAACTAGGAAACATGATTACTGATGCACACATGAATGAAGACCACCTACTACTAACAGGTGATTTCAACATAAACATACTACACGACCAAGACCCACAAGTAACTGAATTCACAAACACAATGAGTAACTGCCTGTTGCTACCAGCAATATCTAAACCTACAAGAATCTCTGAGACAAGCATCTCCTTAATAAACCACATCTGGACAAACACCATATCCCCTTTAAAATCAGGCATAATCATAGACAACACTACAGACCACTACCCAACCTTTTTCATAACTAATCTGGGCAAACTACCACAAGACATTACTAAAGTAACCTTCAGACTACATAACGAGACAGCAGTTAACAACTTTATAGCAGCTATGAATAACATCGATTGGCAAAATGAGCTTGAAACATATACAGATATGAATGAATGTATAAATAATTTTCTAAAAAAAGCCCAATGCCTCTATAACAGACATTGCCCCAGAAAAACTAAACAGATCACAGCAAAGACATTGAATAATCCCTGGCTAACACCAAGCATCCTCAAATCCATTAACACAAAGCACAAATATGAAAAACAGAAATTACTCATCAGCGCTTACCAGCCTGATAAGAAGGTCAAAAAAATTGTATTATGAAAATAGATTACATGACATCAAAGGTGATATGAAAAAAATCTGGAAAACTCTATCTGAAATTCTTGGAACTAAAAAGTTATCCAAAAACCAAGCAATCAAACTAACAAAATCAGACGAACCCCTACTCACTCCAACCGAAACAGCAAACAGACTTAGTGTTTTCTTCTCCACCATAGGAAAAAATCTAGCAAACAAAATACCAAGCGCAAACGCCTGCCCATCAGACTACCTCATAGAACCTACCCAAATACGCTATTCTTAGCTCCAACCAACCCCACTGAAGTTATGCTCATCATAAACACCCTTAAAAACAAGGCAGGAGACATAAACAACTTGCCTGCTTTTATGTACAAAAAAGCTTCTCAAATATTGTCACCAATTATTGCAACGCTCTTTAACAAATCCATTGAATCCTCTACCTTCCCAACAATCGTCAAAATAGCAGGGGTCACTCCGATCCATAAAGGAGGTGACCAAGCTGACTTGAATAACTATAGACCAATATCTAACTTACCACTGCTCTCTAAAATCTTTGAAAAATTAATTCATAGACGGATCTGTTCCTACCTCGTTTCACACAGCATATTAAACCCTTGTCAGTTTGGATTCAGGAATAATAAAAGCACAAATGACGCTATCATACACATGCTAGAACTAATATATACCACACTTGAAAAGAAAAGTCCCGCTGGGCATATTAATTGATTTACGTAAAGCTTTCGATACAGTCGACCATGTACTACTGTACTCCAAATTAATGCACTATGGTATCAGAGGCCACTCCCTCAACTACCTAAAGTCAAATCTTAGTAACAGAACTCAATATGTGTATGCAAATGATGCAAACTCCTCCACCCAACCAATCACAGTAGGAGACCCACAAGGAAGCGTCCTTGGACCACTCCTCTTTTTCATCTACATCAATGATCTACCGAATGCATCACAGCTACTCAAACCCATATTATTTGCAGATGACACCACATATGTATTTTCCCACCCAAACGCAGTCATACTAGCAAACACAGTCATTGCTGAATTACAGAAAATATCTGCCTGGATGATGACTAACAAACTTACCCTGAACACTGATAAAACCTATTTCATTCAGTTTGGAAACAAAGCTGCAAATGATCCAATTAACATTACACTAAATGGATCATCAGTCACAAGACTCTCAGAGGAAAAATTCCTAGGTATCCACCTTGACAGTAGCCTTAAGTTCCGAACACGCATACAACAAATCACCAAGAAAATCTCCAAGACTGTAGGCATACTATCAAAGATAAAGTACTACGTTCCACAATCATCTCTCCTGGCACTGTACCATTCACTCATATACCCTTATCAACAACATCAAATCACCTAAAACCCCTAATAACCCAGCAAAAGGCAGCAGTAAGAATGATAACAAATTCCCAATCCCACAAGCATACTCCACCAATTTTCAAAAGTCTGAATCTGCTTACCATTAAGAACATCCATACTTATTCGTGTGCCTACTACATACACAGAACAATACACGCAAATATAAACCCCCCACTCAAACTTTTCCTCACCAACCTAAACAGGACACATGACCACAACACAAGACACAGATCTCTTTTTGATATACCTCGTGTCCATATCACACTGTGTAAAAACTGTATGCACATAAAGGGCCCCAAAATATGGAATTCATTACCAGAAGATATTAAAGTAACCCAGTCTGAAAATTAATTTAAGACTCTTCTCAAAAGCCACTTAATTACCCTAGACTAAATGCTAAATACTCAGTACATATTTACTCACCTATGTACTCCCACATCATATCTGAAACAATCACATTGAACCTTTTATCCATTGTTGACAGGAATATAATTGAATCATTGTTTTACACAAAAGCATTTTAGAATATAAATACGTATATCTTTGTATTATACAAATTTTGATTCATTTATAATTAATATTCTACTGTACAATTATGAAATAATTACTTTCCTGCTGTACAACTATGATATACTACTCCTTAGTGTTAAGTAGAATGTAAGCCAATAATGTTAAGTTGGCCCATAATGCCAAGGCATAATAGAGGCTCTCTTTGCATTGCAACCCACTATTGTATATACACAATCTCAATGTACTGTTTGCAAAGACATTAAATAAATAAATGAATAAATAAATAAATAATTTTTTTTTTTCCCAACAAGTCGGCTGTCTCCCACCGAGGCAGGGTGACCCAAAGAGAAAGAAAATCCCCAAAAAGAAAATACTTTCATCATCAGTCAACACTTTCACCTAACTCACACACAATCACTGTTTTTGCAGAGGTGCCCAGAATACAACAGTTTAGAAGTATATACGTATAAAAACACACAACAGATCTCTCCAAACTGCCAGTATCCCAAACCCCTCCTTTAGAGTGCAGGCATTGTACTTCCCATTTCCAGGACTCAAGTCCGGTTATATAAAATAACCGGTTTCCCTGAATCCCTTCACTAAATATTACCCTGCTCACACTCCAACAGATCGTCAGGTTCCAAATACCATTTGTCTCCATTCACTCCTATCTAACACGCTCACGCATGCTTGCTGGAAGTCCAAACCCCTCGCCCACAACACCTCCTTTTTACATATTTATACAGTTAAATTCACGACAGAAAATAGATTTTTTATGATAGGCTTGAACAGTTTGGGTGGCACTCGTAAGTTAATCTAACACTTGAATCTAATTCCCTCTTTACAAGTGATTCAAAGTATCTGTACTTGTAGTGGCCATATAACAAGAATGTTACCACTATTATGGGGAGTAGTCTGATTAAAGAATTTCCTCTTAAGAAGATAGTTGTAAAAGTTCTATTGTTATTTCTAATTGGATGTGAATATTTTCTGAATAAAGAATTAGGAATAAAACTCTTATATTATAATTTTATGTACAATTTATATATAATGAAAAGGTCACTGGAAGATGAAAGAAGAGCATAGTTAGATCGTTCAACTCGGTGGATAACCAGAGAAATGAGTGACAATGAAATTTAAGAGGATATAGAGTGAAGGTGCAGATCCCAGAAAACTTGGATGAATTAGCTGTTAAATACAGGGTTGTTGCAAAAAATATATATTGTCTGTATGCACATAGTTCATCTGAGAGTGTTTTTGTCTGAGAAAAGCATATTATTAAAGGCATAGGCATCATTTAACCAGTCATCTTAGAAAGTAATAATGTTCTGCTTTTAATTAATAACATGGAAGTGTTTGCTTTAATTTGTGATGTATGAATTTAAGCTCCATTTTTTCTATAGGTTTCTTGCTATTTCACAGATGTCGCCTTGTTGAGGATGGCTATAGACAACTGGCTTCACTTTCTCCTCGGTCCCTAAAGGGTATGATTCGGGTGCGGTTTATCAATGAGCAAGGATTAGACGAAGCTGGAATAGACCAGGATGGAGTTTTTAAAGGTGATTGTCTTTATTACTTTTACTTCAGATGTCAGACATAAATAAAATAAAAAAAGCTATATTCAGGTAATTACAAATATGTATTTTACAGGTGATGGCATGCATTTCTACCAGTGTTTTAGGCATACAGCAATAGTACATAATTTTGATTCAACCTAGGATGAGCAAATTAAGCCAAATAGTGAACTTGGTTCCACAGTAGTCCTTGTCATGCACTGTTGTTGTATCTGATATATTAACTCTTGAAGAAGCATTGAAGCTCCTTCATAGTTTTATTTTTAGTAAATTACTTTTCCAGTATTTTTCTCTGGTGGGTAAGAGTTCTTTTTTCTATTGACAGAGAATTATGAAGCCCTGTTATTCCTTGGCATGATTGTTAATAAGAGTTAAATCCCATAATATAATGGGGTTAAGTTCCTGGAGGTGACTTGAATCCTGAGGCTGCAGATAATAGGAAATTACACACTGACCCGTATACCTTTCAATATTGCCTTAATCTGCTTAGCACTGACATTCATAAAAAAGAAGTACATGGTTGCTTAATATATTTATAGATGGGGTAGTAAAAGAAGCAAGTGCTAGGGTGTTGCGGAGAGGGGTGGGATTAAATTATGGGGAATCAAATACAAAATGGGAGTTGACCCAGTTATGATTTGATTATGATACTGTACTTTTGGGGGATTCTAAAGAAAAATTGCAAAGGTTAGTGAACGAATTTGGGAGGATGTGTTAAGGTAGAAAGTTGAAAGTGAACAATAGATAAGAGTAAGGTGATGAGGGTATCAAACGATTTAGATAAAGAAAAATTGGATATCACATTGGAGAGAGAGAACCTGGAAGAAGTGTGTTTTCAGATATTTGGGAGTTGACTTGTCAGCAGATGGGTTTATGAAGGATGAGGTTAACCAAAGAATTGATGAAGGAAAAAAAAGTGAGTGGTGCATTGAGGTATCTTTTGAGACAAAGACTGTTATCCTTGGAGGCAAAGAAGGGAATGTACGTGAGTATAGTGGTACCAATATTCTTATATGGGTGTGAAGCATGGGTTGTAAATGCTGCAGTTAGGAAGTGGTTGGAGGCAGTGGAGATGTTGTGTCTAAGGGCAATGTGTGATGTAAATATTATGCAGAGAATTCATAGTGTGGAAATTAGGAGGGGGTGTGGAGTTACTAAAAGTACAGTGGACCCCCGCATAGCGAACTTAATCCGTGCAAGAGGGCTGGTCGTTATGCGAAATGTTCGCTATGCGAATTAATTTTCCCCATAAGAAATAATGGAAATAAAATTAATCCGTGCAAGGCACCCAAAAGTATGAAAAAAAATTTTTTTACCACAAAAAAATGTTAATTTTAGTACACACAAACTGAAAAAGGCATGCACAATTACATGACACTTACTTTTATTGAAGATCTGGTGATGATTGATGGGATGGGAGGAGGGGAGAGCATTACCTTCTTACTGTTTAGAAGGGGAATCCCCTTCCATTAGGACTTGAGGTAGCAAGTCCTTTTCTGGGGTTACTTTCCTTCTTCTTTTAATGCCACTAGGACCAGCTTGAGAGTCACTGGACCTCTGTCGCACAACAAATCTGTCCATAGAGCTCTGTACCTCCCGTTCCTTCAAGACTTTCCTAAAATGGGCCATAACATTGTCATTGAAATAGTCACCAGCACGGCTTGCAACAGCTGTGTCAGGGTGATTTTCATCCATAAAGGTTTGCAGTTCAACCCACTGTGCACACATTTCCTTAATTTTTGAAGTAGGCACAATGGATTCCACAACTGGCATAGGCTTCTCAGGGTTAGCCCCAAACCCTTCAAAATCTTTCTTAATTTCCATACTAATTCTCACCCTTTTTACCACAGGGTTGGCACTAGAAGCTTTCTTGGGGCCCATGGTCACTTATTTTCCAGAAACAGCACCGAAAACACTGTAATAATACGAAATATTCCGAGTGTATGCTTGAATGTTACCGCGGAGGCTAGCTGGTAAACAATGGGACGGGCGGCACATGTGAGGCTGGCTGAGGGCCCACATTGGACGCGTCTCGGACGAAGTTCGCTGAGCGGGTTTTTGTCTACTATGCGGGGCAAAATTTCAGCGAACAAAGCGTTCGCTATGCGGATTGTTCGCTATGCAAGGCGTTCGCTATGCAGGGGTCCACTGTATTATTCAGTGGGCCAAAGAAGGGCTGTTGAGGGGGTTTGGTCATTTAGAGAGAATGGAACAAAGTAGAATAACTTGGAGAGTGTATAAATCTGTTGGGAAGGAAGGCAGGGTAGGGGTCATCCCCAAAAAGGTTGGAGGGAGAGGGTAAAGGAAGTTTTGTGAGCGAGGGGCTTGAACTTCCAGCAAGCATGCGTGAGCGTATTGGATAGGAGTGAATGGAGATGAGTTGTTTTTGGGACCTGACGAGCTGTTGGAGTGTGAGCAGGGTAATATTTTGTGAAGGGATTCAGGGAAACCAGTTAGCTGGACTTGAGTCTTTCAAATGGGAAGTACAATGCCTACACTTTAAAGGAGGGTTTTGGAATACGTATTGGCAATTTGGAGGGACGTCTCAGCTGTCGTATCTGAGCACCTCTGCAAATGCAGTCATTATGTTTGAATGATGGTGAAAGTGTTGAATGATGATGACAGTTTTTTCTTTCTTTTTGGGTCACCCGGCCTCAGTGGGAAACAGCCGACGTATTAAAAAAAAAAAAGTACATTTTGAATGAAATTCTATGGTTATTTTTTGGTTTAGGGGTTGGTCACCCAGCAAAAGAGTTGGCATCAAGAAAGAACATGAATAATACAAGCTATCTACTTAAAGGCCTTCTGTAAAACACTATATAATCAAATCGTGTGAATTACAAAGCATGTGTTTTTCAGGTTCATCTTTACCTGGTTAATTAGAAAGAGGTATAGCATACATACAATTGTCCGCCTAGTAGATAAAATATTACAAGGTGAAGTAAGAATCTGTGATGATTTTCAAGGAAATAGTGAGTGTTCCTGGTGAGAGCTATGATTAGATTGAGAATACAGAATGAACGATATACACATTCCAATATTTAGAAAGAGCTTGAATCTGTTTCCTCTAGTGTAATAAATAACTAAAATCATTATGAGACAGTTTTCAAGACAGAGACTTCTGAAGAGACAACTAATGTTTGATCCTGTCTTCCTTTAGTGCATTGAATAGATGGAAAGTATTAGAGTATAATTTCTGCAGTTAATTAAGACAAAAGTTGCTGCGTATTCTGTACTGTATATGTGAGGCAGTGGGCCTCCAGCAGCAACAGCCTGGTTGGCCAGGCAAGCACCAGGCGAGCCTGGCCCATGGCCGGGCTCAGAGAGTACATAAACTCGCAAAATTCTTCAAAGGTATATCAAGGGTATTTCTGTGTAAGGTTCGATGAAGCACTTTAGCATACAACCTCTACTGTAATACCTATCCTTGCCTCAGTATGGTATATGGTCTCCATCACTTTTAGCTGAGTTCACTGCTCCTACTTTTCCTAGGGAGTGTCTATTATCTATTGTCCTTTGACTTCGCACTCCCAGCATATCCTGTCGTGACAACTGTTGTCTCTAAGGGTAGTATCTCTTTGTTTATTCATTGGTATGGAAAACACTCAGGCTGGTGATAAGAATAGCAGTTTCTTACATAACTTAATTGATACTTAATAAAACCACATTGAATGTTAGTGCATTTAATTTTCTATTATATACAGTACAGAATTTTCTGTTATATACAGTACAGTACCACATTAGCATAACCTTTATATAAATTATGCCCTGAATTATTTATTTCAAATCCCAAGAGTGAGATTGTGTACAGTTTTCTGACAAGCACTTGTACTCCTCAAGAGTTTCTAGAGGAGACACTCAAGAGGGTATTCGATCCTTCCCTCAACTTATTCCGTCTTACAAGTGAGGAGCGGCTCTACCCATCTCCAACCTCCTCCATGACAGAAAATCACCTCCAGTTATTTGAATTCACTGGGCGTATGTTGGGAAAAGCGGTATATGAGGTAAATTTTAACTTAATTACTGATTTCAACTTAAATTTTAATGAGACAAATGTGGTGATAAATGTGATAGCTGCTGTTTAGGCATAGAGAAATAAAAATTATATTTATAAATATTTTAACCCTTTCAGGGTCCGTGCCGTAGACCTACGGCTTTACGTTGAGGGTCCAAACCGTAGATCTACACCATGAGCTCAGCTCTCTCTGATAAGCTGTAAGCGGTGAATTTGGGCCTAGATATGAGAAAATACATCTATATGGTATGTGTGCACCACATAAAACAAGTCCTGCAGCACACAGTGCATAATGAGAAAAACTGAGACCGTAATTTTCGATTAAAACAGCAACTTTGCAGTGTTTTTTCGTATGTTTTTTATAGTTCTATTTGCAATTTCTTGGTCTCATTTGATAGAATGGAAGATATATTACAGAAATCGAGATGATTTTGATTGGTTTTAGTACTGAAAATGGCTTGAAACTGAGCTCAGATTAGCGGAAATGTTAAATTTTTGCCGATGTTCAAGAGTAAACAAATGACCTCACACGTCTAATACACGCCAACTGGTGGGTCTAATATACGTTCACAAATGTGCTGATATTATTTATACAATTATTACAATATTGCATGACAGTAAATCTTCTATATTTTGGTTTGAATAAAAATTCATTATGTGACTTAAAAATCAAAATGGAATTCATTTGTAAAGCCTGAAAATGTAACTGATGAACAGAGAAAATGTTAGTTTAGTGCCAGAAATGCCTGCATTGTTTATTCTGGATCCTATTTTGAAATTAGAATATTTTGAACTTTGCACTAAATTGGCCAAATTACTAATTTCCAATCACTTTATTTTGTAGCTGAAACAGTTGAATTGGCGATTTCTTGTGCTCAATCGATAGAATAGAAGTAATACTAGTGAAATAGCTAAAAATTTGGTTGACTGGAATAAGGTAATTGGCCTAAAATGGGAGTCAGTGTCGGCAAAATCGCTGATACGTAAATATCGCTGACACATCAAAATTCACGAGAGCATAATTTCGTCAATTTTCCATCAAATTTCATACTTTTTGTTTTATTACCTCTAGAAAAAGATTATCTACCATTTCATAAGAAAAAATAACAAAATTATTTTTCGAAAATTCTTGGACACTGGTGCACACTCTGAAATTTGGCCTCTGGACCCTGAAAGAGTTAATTGGTACATTATATTCAGATGTAAATGTTTTATTTTACTCTTCAGATTTAATTGTTGATGTACATTTGCTTATAGTTATATTTTATTATTACTGCTATGTTGTAATTAACTGTATGTTATTTGAATTGTTATGAAATGATCTAACATAGTATATTTTTACAATGCCTGCCAATTTACTTTGTAGGGTATTGTGGTTGACTGCCCATTTGCATCGTTCTTTCTTAGTCAAGTATTGGGTGAACAGCAGTCAGCCCTCTACTCTTCTATTGATGAGCTGCCTTCACTAGACCCAGAACTGTACAAATCAATGACATATATTAAGGTGATAGAGACATTGCCTTTAATAGCTTATGCAAAAAAAAAAAATTGATACTTCACAGTAGGAGTATGAAATAAAATATCACAGCAGATTAGTGTTTAATAGTATTTTCCATACAGCAAATTTTTGTGAGTTGTTTGATTTTGTGTGTCAAAACCTCATCTGTAAAATATACAGTACTGTATGAAAATATTTTCAAATTATTCTAATAGTAACTTTCATTTTACATTGTCAGCATTATGATGGAGATGTAAATGAATTGGATCTCACCTTCTCTTATGATGAAGATTACCTGGGTCAGATAATTACTCATGAACTCAGACCTGGTGGTAAGGTAGTACCTGTGACTAATGATAACAAGATAGTTTACATTCACCTTATGGCCCACTTCAAGATGCATACACAGATCAAGGACCAGACAAAAGCCTTCATCCGTGGCTTCCGCTCCATCATCAACCCAGAGTGGCTGTCACTCTTCTCTGTTCCAGAGGTATATTTTCTAATTAATGAATTAAAGAGTCCAACTGTTTAATGTGAATAATAGTACAGTACTTATCATTAACTATATTAATAATTTTGTGAAAAGTGCCCATAGATTGTCATGTATATAATGCTATGCATTTCTCATATTGAATAAAAGATTAATTTCGCAAATATTTTCTCCTAGTTTCAACGACTGATCTCTGGAGACAATGTAGCAGTGGACCTTAAAGATCTGCGTGAAAACACACTTTATTATGGAGGCTTTCATGATAAGCATAGAGTTGTATGTTGGTTGTGGGATATTCTTGAGCGAGATTTCAAAGAGGAGGAGCGAGCTCTTTTCTTGAAGGTATTGATTTGGTGATAATAGTAATATAGGTTCGTTATGGAAGTTTTCCTTTTTTGTAGTTGCTGCCTTATGTAGTCTCCTGGCAACTGCCAATGATTGCCACATATCCTCTGTCCTAGTAACCAGCAGTAATGTTCAATATTTCTTCCCTTTTATGTTTGCCATAATATTTATATATCAAACTTAGAATTTTGACATAACACTTCAACATTCTTGATCTGTTACCTTATTACAACATTCAGATACTATGATTGACACTCATGCAAAAGTGTAAGTATCACTATACAGTTCTGTAAGACTTTGATTTAATGTGCTCTGATTTAACCCTTTGAGGGTTTTCGTCGTACTAGTACGTCTTACGCGTAGGGGTTTTTGACGTACTAGTACTCATAAATTCTAGCGGCCTCAAATCTAGTGGGAGAAAGCTGGTAGGCCTTCATATGAAAGAATGGGTATATGTGGTCAGTGTGCACAGTCTAAAAAAAATCCTGCAGCACACAGTGCATAATGAGAAAAAAAAAACTTTGACCAATTTTTTTGAATAAATCAGCGACTTTGCTGTGTATTTTCGTATGGTATTTATTGTTGTATTCTAGTTTTCTTGGTCTCATTTTATAGAATGGAAAACATATTACAGAAATTGAGATGATTTTGACTGGTTTTACAAAGAAAGGTGCCTTGAAATTGAGCTCAAAGTAGCAGAAATGTTCGATTTTTACCAAACTTCAAAAGTAAACAAATTGTGCCAAGCGTGCAATACACGTCAACTGGTGAGTCTAATATTCTTTCACAAGTGCACCAATAATATTTATACCATTTTTTACACTAATGCAGTAGTCTGCATAACAGTAAATTCTTATTTTTTGTGAAAATAAAAATTCAAAGTGGAAAGCAAAACAATATAAGAGGGGCCTTGAGACATGACTAATGACTAGAGGAAATGTCATTTTAGTGCCAGGAAAGTCTTTCTTGTTTATTCTGGACCCTATTCGGAAATTGGCATCTTTTGAAATTTGTGTGAAATTGGCAAAATTGCAAAATTCTGACCACTGTACTGGATAGTTGAATTTCATAAATGAGTGGTTTCTTGCATCCATTCGATAGAAAAAATGGAGTTCTAGCGAAATATTCATGTTTTTTGTCGACTAGTACAGTGAAATTGGCCGAAAATGGGGCTCAAAGTGGGCAAAATCGCCGATGCGTAAACATCGCCAAGACCGCTAACTTTGCGAGAGCATAATTCCGTAAGTTTTCTATCAAATTTCAAACTTTTGGTGTCTTTATGATCGGGAAAAGATTCTCTATCTTTTCATAAGAGAAAATAATTTTTTTTTTTTTAAATTTGGCCGACCCTGAGAACGAGTTTCGGAGAGGGCCTGTCGACCCTCAAAGGGTTAATGGATTTCATATTAATGGATAAATTTAATGGACAAAATCTGTTCAATCCAGAATTGTCCATTATTGTTATTTTTTTTTTCAACAAGTCGGCCGTCTCCCACCGAGGCAGGGTGACCCAAAAAAGAAAGAAAATCCCCAAAAAGAAAATATTTCATCATCATTCAACACTTTCACCACACTTGCACATTATCACTGTTTTTGCAGAGGTGCTCAGAATACAACAGTTTAGAAGCATACACATATAAAGATACACAACATATCCCTCCAAACTGCCAATATCCCAAACCCCTCCTTTAAAGTGCAGGCATTGTACTTCCCATTTCCAGGACTCAAGTCCGACTATATGAAAATAACTGGTTTCCCTGACTCCCTTCACTAAATATTACCCTGCTCACACTCCAACAGATCGTCAGGTCCCAAGTACCATTCGTCTCCATTCACTCCTATCTAACACGCTCACGCACGCTTGCTGGAAGTCCAAGCCCCTTGCCCACAAAACCTCCTTTACCCCCTCTCCAACCCTTTCGAGGACGACCCCTACCCCGCCTTCCTTCCCCTATAGATTTATATGCTTTCCATGTCATTCTACTTTGATCCATTCTCTCTAAATGACCAAACCACCTCAACAACCCCTCTTCTGCCCTCTGACTAATACTTTTATTAACTCCACACCTTTTCCTAATTTCCACACTCCGAATTTTCTGCATAATATTTACACCACACATTGCCCTTAAACAGGACATCTCCACTGCCTCCAACCGTCTCCTCGCTGCTGCATTTACCACCCAAGCTTCACACCCATATAAGAGTGTTGGTACTGCTATACTTTCATACATTCCCTTCTTTGCCTCCATAGATAACGTTTTTTGACTCCACATATACCTCAATGCACCACTCACCTTTTTTCCCTCATCAATTCTATGATTAACCTCATCCTTCATAAATCCATCCGCCGACACCTCAAACTCCCAAGTATCTGAAAACATTCACTTCTTCCATACTCCTCCTCCCCAATTTGATATCCAATTTTTCTTTATCTAAATCATTTGGCACCCTCATCACCTTACTCTTTTCTATGTTCACTTTCAACTTTCTACCTTTACACACATTCCCAAACTCATCCACTAACCTTTGCAATTTTTCTTCAGAATCTCCCATAAGCACAGTATCATCAGCAAAAAGTAACTGTGTCAATTCCCATTTTGAATTTGATTCCCCAAAATTTAATCCCACCCCTCTCCCGAACACCCTAGCATTTACTTCCTTTACAACCCCATCTATAAATATATTAAACAACCATGGTGACATTACACATCCCTGTCTAATACCTACTTTTACCGGGAAGTAGTCTCCCTCTCTTCTACACACCCTAACCTGAGCCTCACTATCCTCATAAAAACTCTTAACAGCATTTAGTAACTTACCACCTATTCCATATACTTGCAACATCTGCCACATTGCTCCTCTATCCACTCTATCATATGCCTTTTCTAAATCCATAAATGCAATAAAAACTTCCCTACCTTTATCTAAATACTGTTCACATATATGCTTCAATGTAAACACTTGATCTACACATCCCCTACCCACTCTGAAACCTCCTTGCTCATCCGCAATCCTACATTCTGTCTTACCTCTAATTCTTTCAATTATAACCCTACCGTACACTTTTCCTGGTATACTCAGTAAACTTATTCCTCTATAATTTTTACAGTCTCTTTTGTCCCCTTTCCCTTTATATAAAGGGACTATACATGCTCTCCGCCAATCCCTATGTACCTTCCCCTCTTTCATACATTTATTAAACAAAAGTACCAACCACTCCAACACTATATCTCCCCCTGCTTTTAACATTTCTATCATGATCCCATCAGTTCCAGCTGCTTTACCCCCTTTCATTTTACGTAATGCCTCACGTACCTCCCCCACACTTACATTCTGCTCTTCTTCACTCCTAAAAGATGGTATACCTCCCTGACCAGTGCATGAAATTACTGCCTCTGTTTCTTCCTTAACATTTAAAAGTTCCTCAAAATATTCTCGCCATCTACCTAATACCTCCATCTCCCCATCTACTAACTCCCCTACTCTGTTTTTAACTGCCAAATCCATACTTTCCCTAGGCTTTCTTAACTTGTTTAACTCCAAAATTTTTTCTTATTTTCATTAAAATTTCTTGACAGTTCCTCTCCCACTCTAGCATCTGTTCTCCTTTTGTACTCTCTCACCACTCTCTTTACCCTTCTTTTACTCTCCATATACTCTGCTCTTCTTATAACACTTCTGCTTTGTAAAAACCTCTCATAAGCTACCTTTTTCTCTTTTATCACACCCTTTACTTCATCATTCCACCAATCACTCCTCTTTGCTCCTGCCCCCACCCTCCTATAACCACAAACTTCTGCCCCACATTCTAATACTGCATTTTTAAAACTATTCCAACCCTCTTCAACCCCCCCCCTCCCCCACTACTCATCTTTGCACTAGCCCACCTTTCTGCCAATAGTCGCTTATATCTCACCCGAACTTCCTCCTCCCTTAGTTTATACACTTTCACCTCCCTCTTACTTGTTGTTGCCACCTTCCTCTTTTCCCATCTACCTCTTACTCTAACTGTAGCTACAACTAAATAATGATCCGATATATCAGTTGCCCCTCTATAAACATGTACATCCTGGAGCCTACCCATCAACCTTTTATCCACCAATACATAACCTAATAAACTACTTTTATTACGTGCTACATCATACCTTGTATATTTATTTATCCTCTTTTTCATAAAATATGTATTACTTATTACCAAATCTCTTTCTACACATAGCTCAATTAAAGGCTCCCCATTTACATTTACCCCTGGCACCCCAAATTTACCTACTACTCCCTCCATAACATTTTTACCCACTTTAGCATTGAAATCCCCAACCACCATTACTCTCACACTTGATTCAAAACTCCCCATGCATTCACTCAACATTTCCCAAAATCTCTCTCTCTCCTCTACACTTCTCTCGTCTCCAGGTGCATACATGCTTATTATAACCCACTTTTCACATCCAATATTTATTTTACTCCACATAATCCTTGAATTAATACATTTATAGTCCCTCTTTTCCTGCCATAGCTTATCCTTCAACATTATTGCTACTCCTTCTTTAGCTCTAACTCTATTTGAAACCCCTGACCTAATCCCATTTATTCCTCTCCATTGAAACTCTCCCACCCCCTTCAGCTTTGTTTCACTTAAAGCCAGGACATCCAGCTTCTTCTCATTCATAACATCCACAATCATCTCTTTCTTATCATTTGCATAACATCCACGCACATTCAGACTTCCCACTTTGACAATTTTCTTCTTCTTATTCTTTTTAGTAATCTTTACAGGAAAAGGGGTTACTAGCCCATTGTTATTATGGAAAATAATCTCATGATTTGGATTTAAATGGTAATTGGCATGAACTTCCTTAAATTAAATTAAGGTTCACTGTATTTAGTCAGTTTTTCTGTGTTCCCTTCCTGATATACAATGTACAATATACAATGTATATTGTACATTGTGACTATACCCCCTTAGAATCTTCCTTTAGTATCATGAGTCTCAATTATTTGAATCTGTCCTCCTAGCTCAGTTTTAAGTTAATGTTGAAATGGTTAAGTTGGGGCTTCAGAACTGAAGACATTATGGTATGTGAGCAGTACAAGTCGTGCCTTTGAAGACATACACTGATTATTCCTTTTAATGAAACTGCATGTTAGATATTAGTGGAGAGAAATGATTTTTGGGACTTGAAGAGTTGTTGGAGTGTGAGCAGGGTAATATTTTGTGAAGGGATTCAGGGAAACTGGTTAGCCAAACTTGAGTCCTGTAGGTGGAAAGTACAATGTCTGCACTTTAAAGGAGGGGTTTGGGATATTTGCTGTTTAGAGTGACATCTAAACTGTCGTATCTGCATGCCTCTGCAAAGACAGTAATCACGTGTGAATGATGGTGAAAGTATTTCTTTTTTTGGGGGGGGGGGTCACCCTGCCTTGGTGGAAGACAGCCAGTGCATTGAAAAAAAAAAATGTAAGTAGGTGTGAGGGGACACCTACTTACATTACCATCTTACGTTATTGTTATTAATATTGTATCTCTCTTTCAGTTTGTGACCAGCTGTTCAAAGCCACCACTCTTAGGATTTACACACTTGGAACCACCTTTTTCTATTCGTTGTGTTGAAGTAGGCGATGATGAAGATACAGGTAGAGTAAAGTATATTTTCATTGTTTAGCATATTCAGTGTATGTCTACCATGGCAACTTAGATAATACAGTGTATGTTTCTACTGCTGCTTTATAGATAGCAAAAATTGAAAAGGTCATTTCTTTCTTTCAACAAACTGGCCATATCCCACCGAAGCAGGGTGGCAAAAACAAGAAGAATGAAAGCTTCCTTTTTTAACTTTAGTAATGTATACAGAAGGGGTTACTAGTCCCTAACTCCCGGCATTGTGGTCGCCTCTTACGACACGCAAGGCTTACAGAGAAAGAATTCTGTTCCACTTCCCCATGGAGATAAGAGGAAATAAACAAGAAAAAGAACTAGTAAGAAATCCCAAAGGGGGGTGTATATATATGCTTGTACATGCATATGTAGTGTGATCTAAGTGTAAGTGCATGTTTATGAGACAGAAAAGACACGAGCAATCCTACCATCACGAAAAACATTTACAGACTTCTGTTTTACACTCGCTTGGCAGGATGGTAGTATCTCCCTGAGTGGTTGCTGTCTATAAACAGAAGAATGGACGCTGGCTCGAACCATGGACCATACATGTAACAGGCCCACCGCTGTAAACAGACACATTTCTTCTTTCTTTCAACACACCGGCCGTATCTCTCCGAGGCGGGGTGGCCCAAAAGGAAAAACAAAAGCTTCTCCTTTTAAATTTAGTAATATATACAGGAGAAGGGATTACTAGACCCTTGCTCCTGGCATTTTAGTCGCCTCTTACAACATGCATGGCTTATGGAGGAAGAATTCTGTTCCACTTCCCCATGGAGGACAGACACATTTATATTTTTTAAATTAATTTTTCAGAAAAAATATGCTATTTTGCATTTTTTCATGCCTGTTGTTCTTTTAATATGACGTTTGGTGCTTTATACAATATTTTTTTTTTTTTAATTTATACTTAGCTGGTCATTCCAGTTTTATGGTTCATGCACAGTGGAGGGGTGGGGGGTACAGGAGACTGAGTGATAGGGGCTTGAACATCTAACAGCCTTGTGTGAACATGTTAGATCAGAATGAGTGGAGGCAGATGGTTTTTGTGGCCTAACATGCTGTTAGAGTGTGAGCAAGGTAACATTTTTGAAGAGATTCAGGAAAAGTGGTTAGCCAGGCTTGAGTCCTGGAGAAGGAAATACAGTATGTGTGGTTTGCCACTCCTTTGTTCTTATCTACTATTTCATATACAATACAGTAATTCATCTGAACACTGCCACAGTTCGAATCTTGACCTAATCCATTAAAAAAAATCTACAGTACCCTAAATTTTAAGAATTCATATGTAAAATCTTTCACCGAGATAAAACTAGCAATTATCCTACTCTCATAAAGGAATGTGACTTGCCTAATGTTCTACTATTACTGCAGCCTTGTTATAATATTCAACTGTGCAGAGGTACTTTTAAACTTGTTAATGCATTCAGCAGTTGCTTTCCCACATTTGTCTGCCCCACAATTTATGTAGTAGCGTCAAATTTTATATCACTCGTTATCATTAGGTCATGCTTATTATTGCTGCTTCTTGAAGCAATTGATAAATCAGCATTACTAGATGCCTTTTTCAAAGGATTTCAATACATACGTTAGAAAGGATGGAGCAAAGTAGGATGACTTTGAGGGAACACAGGGTAGGGATCATCCTAGGAAAGGTCGGAGGCAGGGATGCAAAGGAGGTTTTGAATGCAAGAGGATTGGACATCCAGCAAGCATGTGTAATTGTGTTAGGAGTAAGTGGAGGCAAGTGGTTTTTATGACTTGATGTTCTGTTTGATTGTGAGCAAGGGAACATTTGTGAAGGAATTCAAGGAAACCAATTAGCCAGACTTGATCCTGGAGGTGGGAAGTACAGTACTTGCACCCTGAAAGAGGAGTGGGGATATTGGAGTTTGGAAGGGCATCTGAACCGTGGTATTAGCATGACTCTGGCAGGAGATGGTCAGAGTGTTTCTTCTTTTTTGGGTCACCCTACCTTGGTGGAAGATGGCCTATGTTAAAAAAAAAAAGTCACTCTTAATTGAATAAAAGTTAATTGATGCTAGGTCACAGTGCTAAGTGAAGTGTATAACATCAGTGGGACAGTGCATCTCACATCTACAATAAATACCCATATGTCAATATAGCCTTACCATGCCAGTATTTTACTTAACTTAAATGTATTTACCAAAATGTAACTTATGCCAAAAGTTACTGGTTATCACTTTCTTATTTTTACTCCTCTTTTTTTTTGTTTTAGCACTTATGGTGCCCAGAATCTTCTTTCCTCTTTTTATTCTAATGCTCTTGGCTCTCTTGCCACTACTAAGGCTTTCTGCCACAGAAAAAATCTCACTGATAGGACGTGCAGTCAAGCAAAGAGCATTCATAGTGTTAAATGTTTCAATAATCACCCACAACATTTGCTTAAGCATTCTTCAATATACATATGCTAGAGTAACAAACCTGTGATTGTTTTAATCTTATGTAACACACAAACTACAACTAATAAGCCCCTCTAATTTTAATTTTTAGGTGATACAATTGGCAGTGTTATCCGTGGCTTCTTTGCTATACGAAAACGTGATCCTGTGAACCGCCTTCCCACCTCATCCACATGTTTTAACCTGCTTAAACTGCCAAATTACCAGCGAAAAAGCACCTTAAGGGATAAATTACGTTATGCTATCACAAGTAATACAGGATTTGAGCTTTCTTAAGGGTAAGAATTAAATAAACTGAATCGGCTCTATTTTTTTTTTTTTTTAATTCTGTTGTTGAATTATAAAAGATGGTATGCTGTATCATGAAAACTCTTTGATATTGTAAGATTTGTTAGGAAATACTTTTCAAAATGTGGAACATATGTGACCCATAACTGGTTACAAGGATACAAGGTACTAAAGTGGAACTTGTAGCCATTGTAGAACTGTATTGTAGTTTAAAAAAAAAGTCAGTGGCGAGCTATTATTTTCTCAGAACTAAAAGTTAAAAAAAAATTCACTTTATACCTGAAGATATTATTTTTCAAGACAATTTGATCTTATATTATTAGAATATATGAAGGTATTTTAAGATATTACATATTAATTTTTGTGCCTCATCAGATTTGCACGGGACATTTAAACTACCTATGTATTATACTGTATAATTATCCTTGATTCCAAATTGTAGAATGAATAATGTACAGTATATTGATAATTTATTTTCTGAATAGAATCCAATAGGAAATTATAAGCTGTGTATACTTGAATAGTATCATAATTATTTACAGAATAGTACAAACATACATCTGTCAATTATGTGATGGGATGATACATATAAATGTCACTTGTATTTCTTCTTTCTTCTTTCAATGCACCAGCCGTATCCCACCGAAGCAGGGTGGCCCAAAAAGAAAAGCAAAAGTTCCTCTTTTTAACTTCAGTAATGTATACAGGAGAAGGGGTTACTAGCACCTTGCTCCCAGCATTTTAGTCACCTCTTACAACATGCATGGCTTACGGAGGAAGAATTCTGTTCTACTTCCCCTTCTAGTTATCATATTCATTAAGCTTATCATACTAGATTCGTGTATGACTCAAGAAATAACAAGCATTTGTTACTAAGTAATGATTGAGCATGCAGGTAACAGTTATGTTGCTCTCACATGTAATAACACTAAGCAGTACTTCATGTTTGTTTCATACATCTTACTCTAAGTACTCTTTAATTTGTATGATAGTTGATAAAAACCATAGATATTTCTTTTATAATTTTTATTGTAAAATAAGTGATTACATACAGTGAGGAATACAAGATATGCAAGAACAATCTTCTCTACAAATTCACAGGGTTATGTTCTAGATTTCCTGCAAAATGGAAACTATTCCTAAGATCTCCATACCAAATTGAGTTTAAATTTGGGCTCATTTTAGAGGGACATGTGAACTATCGTATCTGAGCAACTTGGGAAAGACAGTGTTATTGTGTATGATGGTGAAAGCATTTCTTTTTCGGGTCACCTTGCTTCAGTCGAGACTGCCAGCATGTTAAAATATGTAAAAAAAAAAAAATCTGTAAAATATCACTTTGATATTGACATTCTTAAAAATAGTTACCAAAATAAGAGAGATTTGATTGTGGGAAAGTCATTGTACCAGAAAAACATTGGATAATTAAATCTATTTGCTGGATGCCCATCTGTAAAAAAATTTGATGATCAAAGCCCATTAATATAGAAGTACAGTAGGACCTCCATATCCGTGGGGGATATGTTTCAAGAACCTACCGTGGATACTGAAACCATGGATAATAGCAAACCCTACTATTTAGAAAGTTTAATTGATAAATTATGCACAATAAATGGAGAATTTGCAGTTTTTCACTGATGGGAAGCACTTCACAGTTTCTCTTAGGCTTTGAAGAACTGCCAGCTTCTCTACATTTGTGTTTTGGGGCCATTATTATGCAAAATTAAGAGGTATTTTTGGGCCACTGCAAACCGTGGATAACTGAGGCCATGGATGCCAGATCAGTGCATATGGGGGTTCTACTGTATCTGAATCTGTAAGGTTAATTGGACAGTAGATTTGATGTGTAATATAGGTCTGTATTATACTGTATGCTCTCTTATTAGATAGCATATAGTATTAGAGAGCATATAGGATAAAAGAAGAGTTGAAAATTATATACCGTGATGGATTTAGGAATGAATGTGTTTGCTTATTTTCATAATTCATATATAATTACTTTAGGTAACACTCATGGATATGTAATTCATAACTGATACAAGCTGTTGCATATTATATACAGTTATACAACTTTTTTTTTTTTTTAATGTTGGTTGAGAATCTAAGCTCTTCATTTCATCATCCAAGTCTAACTAGCTGAGTAGCTTCCTGAGAATACTTAGTGGATGACATAATCTGGAGGATATTTGAAGTACATGTTCTTCGTTGTATGGAGACATATTTTTGAAATGGGAAACAGTGATGTAATGGTGAATGCTAAAGCCATAATCATGTCCAGTCCAGTATTTACCTATTTTAATTACTTTCTTGTTGCTACAGGAGCAGGATATTTCCTCTTAGATGTTTAATATACAAAATCATATCATTTTTAAAAATTTTCAGTGGTTGCAGCAGTTATTACCTCGTTTTGTAACCTGTTTCATTGTTCTACCACTGTTTATGAAGAATGTCATTTTAGTATTCTTTCTGCACCTGTTCTTCCTTAGTTTATAGTTATAGCCTCTTGTTCTTCCTGTTGTTGATGTTAAGAAACTTTCCTAATGTATTTTTTACTTTCATTGTATTTTTTTTCTTTTCAACCAACGAGGGCATGGTTAATGATTTTAGTTTTTATTCATGACTTATTGATTTTTTTATTATTTTTATCCTCATGATTTTTGAATGTGTGGATATCATATAACCACTTCATATTGCAGTTTTAAACAGGCTTTTTATCATTACTTCACTTGTACAGGCACTCCTCACTTAATGACCTACCTGTTGAACAACTGCTTGGACTTACGACCAGCTCTCCGACCGGTATACAAGCCTAAATAATGTATATTAGAGCAGATTTCCTCTATTCTGTTTATTACATTATACAGTACACTATTTTATAAATATTTAAAAATATACTAAAAATGTTATAAATGGTGCAATTGTGACATTAAAACAATATCTAAAGATGATTGACACAAACCCACTACCAGTACAATATGCTCCTCGCTTTATGATCAATTCGCTTATTGACCTATTCTTAGGAATGGAACTCAGTTGTTAAGTGAAGAGTACCTGTATATCAAAAATCTATTCTAAGTGTGTTCTACAGTTTAAATAATGTGATCTGTTGATGATAGTCATTGGTGAATCTTAGGTCCTCAGCTTTCTCTTAGGCTTTTATATTTTATCACAATCTATTCATGTGGCCTATTTTCACTTTCTCCTATATCTCTTACATGACACTTATCTGTTTTAAATTCCATAATACATCTAACATTCTACTTGCTCAGCTTATCCAGGTCTTCCTGCAGACAGGGATTCTTAGTCATATACAGTGGACCCCCGGTTAACGATTTTAATCCGTGCAAGAGGGATAATTGTTATGCGAAATAATCGTTATGCGAATGAATTTTCCCCCTAAGAAATAATGGAAATAAAATTAATCCGTGCAAGACGCCCAAAAGTATGAAAAAAATTTTTTTTTACCACATGAAATGTTAATTTTAATACACACAAACTGAAAAAGGCATGCACAATTACATGACACTTACTTTTATTGAAGATCTGGTGATGATTGATGGGATGGGAGGAGGGGAGAGCATTATCTTCTTACTGTTTAGAAGGGGAATCCCCTTCCATTACGACTTGAGGTAGCAAGTCCTTTTCCGGGGTTACTTCTCTTCTTCTTTTAATGCCACTAGGACCAGCTTGAGAGTCACTGGACCTCTGTCGCACAACAAATCTGTCCATAGAGCTCTGTACCTCCCGTTCCTTTACGATTTGTCTAAAATGGGCCACAACATTGTCATTGAAATAGTCACCAGCACGGCTTGCAACAGCTGTGTCAGGGTGATTTTCATCTATAAAGGTTTGCAGTTCAACCCACTGTGCACACATTTCCTTAATCTTTGAAGTAGGCACAATGGATTCCACAACTGGCATAGGCTTCTCAGGGTTAGCCCCAAACCCTTCAAAATCTTTCTTAATTTCCATACTAATTCTCACCCTTTTTACCACAGGGTTGGCACTAGAAGCTTTCTTGGGGCCCATGGTCACTTATTTTCCAGAAACAGCACCGAAAACACTGTAATAATACGAAATATTCCGAGTGTATGCTTGGATGTTACTGCGGAGGCTGGCTGGTAAACAATGGGACGGGCGGCACATGTGAGGGCACATTGGACGCGTCTCGGACGAAAATCGGTGAGCGGGTTTTTAATCGGTATGCGCGGCAAAAATTTTGCAATAAAAGTAAGCGGTATGCGGAAAAATCGCTATGTGATGCCATCGTTATGCGGGGGTCCACTGTATTGCTTAATTTTCATAAAATCTCTGCATATTTACAGACAGGTTCATGTAGTTTTTTATTCCTTCTTGCAAGTTATATAAATTAAAAAAAATTATTGGACCAAACACCTATCCTTGCTGTAACCCACTGGTGACGTTACCCATTTTACCTCGTATCACTTTTCACATTTTTATTTCAAATGCAAAATCTTCCACACTAATGGTTTGAGTTTTGTTCCTCTTATCTTTAGTTGTTTCCATATAAGTTTTTATTGGTTGCATAGTTATATTGTTTGCCACTGAATATTTGGTATTGCATGAATATTCTCTCTCAGGAATATGAACACATACAGACAGTTCAACATACTTTTATTTGAACAATAAATTTGTACAGGTTGTGCTAGAGACACAAGCAGCAGGTGTGTGGGGGTTGTTGGAGATACAAAAGGAAAATCTGTGCAGGTTATGCTAATAAGATAAGATAAAATAAGATTTCGTTCGGATTTTTAACCCCGGAGGGTTAGCCACCCAGGATAACCCAAGAAAGTCAGTGCGTCATCGAGGACTGTCTAACTTATTTCCATTGGGGTCCTTAATCTTGTCCCCCAGGATGCGACCCACACCAGTCGACTAACACCCAGGTACCTATTTGCTGCTAGGTGAACAGGACAACAGGTGTAAGGAAACGTGTCAAAATGTTTCCACCCGCCGGGAATCGAACCCGGGCCCTCCGTGTGTGAAGCCAGAGCTTTAGCCACCAGGCCACCAGGCCACCTAATGGTGCAATGACTTGTTCATGTTTTATACCTTGTTCTAGTATGTATTTATGTCTTTTTAAAAACAAATGCTTGTATTCCCTACTTTTGGTAATTACACTTCATTATCACCTAACTTTGTCATTTTACTAATCATTCACAAAATACTTGTTTCCATTATTTAATATTTCCTTCTATTACTTTTGTAATGTCATTTTATAATTCAAAATCATTTCACTTAAATGAAAATGCACACTATTATTCACTGTTAGTCATGATCAATAACTTCAGTTTATAGCAATATTAATAGTGCTAGTTATCAGCTTGAGCACCGATATTTAATTATCAGTATAATTTTTTTTTTTGGGGGGGGGGGTGAAAAGTATTATGTATTAATCTTCTGCATGTTGTAGCAGTGGTGTGCTAGATGTGTACTGTTGGTCTTACTCTGTTTGTGATCAGTAATTCATAAGTTCTCAAGCAGAGAGGTGGGGTATACAATATATCTAGCAGTAAGTTAAGGGTAGAACTGTATTAGTAAGTACTAAGCTGATAAATATAATACTAAGGTTATAAGAGACAAAGCTTCACTGTGAGCATATATTGTTGTCTGTGATATTATTATGTGGGTATGTGTAACCTTACATTGTAAATACTTATACTGTTTATAACATCTCAGCTGAAGTCATACTGGTGATGTTTTAGAATATAAGTTTTAAAACTGTAGGACTAATGTTGACCAAATCTTCTTTAAACTTATTAATTTTTGTTACTTAACTTTTTATCTTATTAACTTCAGTTTTAGTGCAGCCTGTATAAGCTGCACTATTATTGTATTTTATAAATTAGTAAATTTATGTGGGGTGTTCAGTGCAATGAATGGTGGATGCTCCAACCTTCACCTGCTGATAGTGACCCTGCCTCTGACCAGTCAGGCTATATTATCGGTAATGAAGGTAGGGATGACATGATCATCCATTTATAAGCAAGATTGTTTGTTCTAGGTTATGCTATGCATTCCTAGTTATGGAATTACTGCTAATTTCAGGCCTTTGTCCAGGTACCTTGTGTGTACTTAAAGCTCTTTCCATTATTACTATACTCCAATTGTATTACTGTATTATTCAACAGTGTATATGCTCTTCTGTGAAGTAGTAGAATTTAAGGAAAGGGTTTTCTGAATTGGTAAGAATAAATTCCATGTTAAAAATGTAAGTAAAATGTAAAGGATGCGTGGGTCTCATAGAGCCTAAGAAGAATAGGTCAGGGTATTAAGAGTGAGTGAGTGTGTATGTGTGTATGTGTATGTCCATTGGCATACTGAAGAGTGATATACTTTCAATATTTCTCTGCCTTCAAACTCTATCTCAGACTCAAGCCTTTATAGAAAGTTTTGAATGTACATATAATGAAGAAGTAAAATTAAATATAACAATAGTGTTCAGATGATTAATGTAAGGTCTTTATGGATGTAGATCTTTACATCTCATCCTACATGATAATTTATCTTGTTAAAAAGGTGACCTGTAACTTCCTTTGTATTGATTATTTCAGTAATACAGGTTCTGACCTGATACCCTGACTAGATGCAGTTTTGGTTATGATGTTTTATTAGGATTACAGATGATGTCTTGTAGTACAGTTACTGTGAAAAGTGATATGGGAAAGACAAAACAAGGTGGATTTAGGAAGGAAAGAGATGTATGTATGTATCAAGTGTTCACATAAGAGCATATGAGTGAGCAATACTGTGATAAGAGTAAGGAGCTGTTTGTTGCATTTATGGATTTAGAATAAGCTTCTAATATAGTGGATACGGAAGTAATATGGCAAGTATTGTAAATGTATGGAATGTGTGATGTTCTACTAAAAACTGTAGTGTTTTTATGAGGAATGAGGAGAGTTTGGCTTAGGTTAAGTTATGTAGAAGATGAGGGTATTTTTTATTAAAAGGTGATCTTAGGGATGTCATATGTCACTGTGGTGAGTTAACATTTATAGATGGGGTTATAAATAAAGTGAATGTTAGTATTGGGGATAACTGCAATATAAAGGGAAAGGGGACAAAAGAGATTGTAAAAATTATAGAGGAATAAGTTTACTGAATATACCAGGAAAAGTGTACGGTAGGGTTATAATTGAAAGAATTAGAGGTAAGACAGAATGTAGGATTGCGGATGAGCAAGGAGGTTCCAGAGTGGGTAGGGGATGTGTAGATCAAGTGTTTACATTGAAGCATATATGTGAACAGTATTTAGATAAAGGTAGGGAAGTTTTTATTGCATTTATGGATTTAGGAAGAGAGTGCAAAAATTATAGGGGGATAAGTCTGTTGAGTATACCTGGTAAAGTGTATGGTAGAGTTATTATTGAAAGAATTAAGAGTAAGACGGAGAATAGGATAGCAGATGAACAAGGAGGCTTTAGGAAAGGTAGGGGGTGTGTGGACCAGGTGTTTACAGTGAAACATATAAGTGAACAGTACTTAGATAAGGCTAAAGAGGTCTTTGTGGCATTTATGGATTTGGAAAAGGCATATGACAGGGTGGATAGGGGGGCAATGTGGCAGATGTTGCAGGTGTATGGTGTAGGAGGTAGGTTACTGAAAGCAGTGTAGAGTTTTTACGAGGATAGTGAGGCTCAAGTTAGAGTATGTAGGAAAGAGGGAAATTATTTCCCAGTAAAAGTAGGCCTTAGACAAGGATGTGTGATGTCACCATGGTTGTTTAATATATTTATAGATGGGGTTGTAAGAGAAGTAAATGTGAGGGTCTTGACAAGAGGCGTGGAGTTAAAAGATAAAGAATCACACACAAAGTGGGAGTTGTCACAGTTGCTCTTTGCTGATGACACTGTGCTCTTGGGAGATTCTGAAGAGAAGTTGCAGAGATTGGTGGATGAATTTGGTAGGGTGTGCAAAAGAAGAAAATTAAAAGTGAATACAGGAAAGAGTAAGGTTATGAGGATAACAAAAAGATTAGGTGATGAAAGATTGTATATCAGATTGGAGGGAGAGAGTATGGAGAGGGTGAATGTATTCAGATATTTGGGAGTGGACGTGTCAGCGGATGGGTCTATGAAAGATGAGGTGAATCATAGAATTGATGAGGGGAAAAGGGTGAGTGGTGCACTTAGGAGTCTGTGGAGACAAAGAACTTTGTCCTTGGAGGCAAAGAGGGGAATGTATGAGAGTATAGTTTTACCAACGCTCTTACATGGGTGTGAAGCATGGGTGATGAATGTTGCAGCGAGGAGAAGGCTGGAGGCAGTGAAGATGTCATGTCTGAGGGCAATGTGTGGTGTGAATATAATGCAGAGAGTTCATAGTTTGGAAGTTAGGAGGAGGTGCGAGATTACCAAAACTGTTGTCCAGAGGGCTGAGGAAGGGTTGTTGAGGTGGTTCGGACATGTAGAGAGAATGGAGCGAAACAGAGTGACTTCAAGAGTGTATCAGTCTGTAGTGGAAGGAAGGCGGGGTAGGGGTCGGCCTACGAAAGGTTGGAGGGAGGGGGTAAAGGAGGTTTTGTGTGCGAGGGGCTTGGACTTCCAGCAGGCAAGCGTGAGCGTGTTTCATAGGAGTGAATGGAGACAAATGTTTTTTTTTTAATACTTGACGTGCTGTTGGAGTGTGAGCAAAGTAACATTTATGAAGGGGTTCAGGGAAACCGGCAGGCCGGACTTGAGTCCTGGAGATGGGAAGTACAGTGCCTGCACTCTGAAGGAGGGGTGTTAATGTTGCAATTTAAAAACTGTAGTGTAAAGCACCCTTCTGGCAAGACAGTGATGGAGTGAATGATGGTGAAAGTTTTTCTTTTTTGGGCCACCCTGCCTTGGTGGGAATCGGCCAGTGTGCTAATAATAAAAATAAAAATATTATGGATTTGGAAAAGGCATATGATAGAGTGGATAGGGGAGCAATATGGCAGATGTTACAAGTATATGGAATAGGTGGTAAGTTACTAAATGCTGTAAAGAGTTTTTATGAGGATAGTGAGGCTCAGGTTAGGGTGTGTAGAAGAGAGAGAGACTACTTCCCGGTAAAAGTAGGTCTTAGACAGGGATGTGTAATGTCACCATGGTTGTTTAACATATTTATAGATGGGGTTGTAAAAGAAGTAAATGCTAGGGTGTTCGGGAGAGGGGTGGGATTAAATTATGGGGAATCAAATACAAAATGGGAATTGACACAGTTAGTTGCTTTTTGCTGATGATACTGTGCTTATGGGAGATTCTAAAGGAAAAAATGCAAAGGTTAGTGCATGAGTTTGGGAGTGTGTGTAAAGGTAGAAAGTTGAAAGTGAATATAGAAAAGAGTAAGGTGATGAGGGTATCAAATGATTTAGATAAAGAAAAAATGGATATCAAATTGGGGAGGAGGAGTATGGAAGAAGTGAATGTTTTCAGATACTTGGGAGTTGATGTGTCGGCGGATGGATTTATGAAGGATGAGGTTAATCATAGAATTGATGAGGGAAAAAAGGTGAGCGGTGCATTGAGGTATATGTGGAGACAAAAAACATTATCTATGGAGGCAAAGAAGGGAATGTATGAAAGTATAGTAGTACCAACACTCTTATAGGGGTGTGAAGCTTGGGTTGTGAATGCAACAGCGAGGAGACGGTTGGAGACAGTGGAGATGTCCTGTCTAAGGGAAATGTGTGGTGTAAATATTATGCAGAAAATTCGGAGTGTGGAAATTAGGAGAAGGTGTGGAGTTAATAAAAGTATTAGTCAGAGGGCTGAAGAGGGGTTGTTTAGGTGGTTTGGTCATTTAGAGAGAATGGATCAAAGTAGAATGACATGGAAAGTGTTTAAATCTGTAGGGGAAGGAAGGCAGAGTAGGGGTCGTCCTCGAAAAGGTTGGAAGGAAGGGGTAAGGGAGGTTTTGTGGGTGAGGGGCTTGGACTTCCAGCAGCCGTGCATGAGCGTGTTCGATAGGAGTGAATGGAGATGAATGATATTTGGGACCTGACGCTCTGTTGGAGTGTAAGCAGGGTAATATTTAGTGAAGGGATTCAGGGAAACCGGTTATTTTCATATATCCGGACTTGAGTCCTGGAAATGGGAAGTACAATGCCTGCACTCTAAAGGAGGGGTTTGGGATATTAGCAGTTTGGAGGGATATGTTGTGTATCTTTATATGTATATGCTTCTAAACTGTTGTGTTCTGAGCACCTCTGCAAAAACAGTGATTATGTGTGAGTGAGGTGAAAATGTTGAATGATGATGAAAGTACTTTCTTTTTGGGGATTTTCTTTCTTTTTTGGGTCACCCTGCCTCGGTGGGAGACGGCCGACTTGTTAAAAAAAATAAAATAAAATAAAGCTAGAGTTGCCACAGTAGATTTTTGCTGATAAAGTGCTTTTAGTGGATTCAGAAGAGAAGTTGCAGAGGTTAGCAGAATTTAGAAGGGTGTATAAAGGAGAAACATGAAAGCAAATACAGGAAATACCAATTATAGTTGATAGTAAAGAGTGTAAATAATGTCAGTTTGGGCATGATCCTGGAGGGAAGGAGAATGAAGGAAGTGAATGTATTTGGTTATTTCAGCATGAAGATGTGGGCAGATGTGTCCATGAAAGATGAAGTGAATCATAGAATATATGATCGGTTTAGAAAAACTGGTTAGCCGGACTTGAGTATAGCTGATAAGTATAGTGCTTGTACTTTGAAGGATGGGTGGGGATGTTGCAGTTCAGTGAATTGTGTGAAGACTTATGTCCTTTCACTTCTAGCAAGACAGGTAGGTAATAATTGATGGGAAAGTATGTTCCTAATTTGGGATTTGGTCATCCTACCTATGTAGAAAATTGCTGATGTGCTAAGAAATTGGTTTAGAGAAATTTAGTGCAGTGGCACTGTTATATGATACGCTGATAAAATGAGAACGAGGGATATAGTATTGTAAAGGTTGACTGTTGATTGCCAAGTACACTGCGATATCAACACTAAAATAATATAAGAAAAAGTATTTAAAGTTGTGCACAAGCACCAATTTTTTACATTAAACTTTAGACAGTGGTTTAATTCACAAGCAATTATCAATTGTTAAATGCATCTGTATATATCACTGTACTTTATATCCGTGTATTTATTTATAATTAACAGCAACTGTTTAAGCTGTCACTGGCAAAAGTATGTATTGTATACATGTTAGTTATTATAAAAAAATAGTTGAAAAGTTGGTGCCCTACTGACATGAATTAAGTGTTACTCACAAATATATTAATGTTTTCAGTCAAGACAGTATAGTTGTTGTATATTGGCTTCACTCTTCATTTAATTGCAAACAGTAAGAAAAATATAATATGTTAAAACCTAGACAAGAGTAATGGAAATCTTGCATTTTGCATTTATATAAAACACTAAGATCTTGTTCGTATGGCAGTATTTGCTGAAGCAGTAACACTTAATCATTGTCTGATGTAGATGTCCAATAAGTTACCCATTGCATAGACAAACCCTGTACAGAGAGCTTATACAAATTTGCAGAAATAAGTACTGCATTAAAGTGAGAGTCAATAGCTAAGTGCCTCAGATGTTGTGTAATTGACGTAGATAGACAGAAAGCCATGTACTGTATGGTTTTTGCCATAGAGGATGAACTGTATATTCTCAATAAAATGCAAATGTTGTATTGTCTTATTTACTAAGATCTAGATCCTTCTTGATTGGTCTTGCCCGAGTGCTGCCTCAAGGAATTTGGAATTCCTCAAAGTGGATGATTTTTTTTATTGCTCATGCTAGCATGAACAGTCAGGCAATGGTTGCTTCACTCCTATGTAGAGTTGACTATTTCCAGTTGGGCCAGCTCATGGCTTGAGGTTTTCTGTATCCACATAATGATCAAGCTGACTATCTTTTCCCAGTTAGCTCTCTTCCTGTTGAGTAAAAGGACACAAGTGCAACTAAAGTGACATTTTATTGTGACAATGTTTTGCTCTCCAAGAGCTTTATCAAGCTCCTGGAGAGTGAAACTTTACCAGAGTAAAATGTCACATTAGTTGCACTTGTGTCTTGTTACTCAAAATATTGTCGGTGTGTAAAGGTAGAAAGTTGAAAGTGTATATAGATAAGAGTAAATTGATGAGGGTATAAAATGATTTAGATAAAGAAAAATTGGATAGTACAGTGGAGGGAGGGAGGGAGTATGGAAGAAGTGAATGTTTTCAGATATTTAGGAGTTGACTTGTCAGTAGATGGGTTTAAGAAGGATGAGGTAAACCATAGAACTGATGAAGGAAAAAAGGTGAGTGGTGCATTAATGTATCTGTAGAGACAAAGAATGTTATCCATGGAGGCAAAGATAGGAATGTATAAGAGTATAGTGGTACCAACACTTATATAGGTCTAAAGCATGGGTTGTAAATGATACTGCAGTGAGGAGGCAGCTGGAGGCAGTGGAGATGTTGTCTAAAGGGCAATGTGTGGTGTAAATGTTGTGCAGAGAATTTGTAGTGTGGAAATTAGGAGGAGGTGTGGAGTTACTAAAAGTATTAGGCAGTGGGCTGAAGAGGGGCTGTTGAGGTGGTTTCGTCATTTAAAAAGAATGGAACAAAGTAGAATGACTTGGAGAGCATATAAATATATTGGGGAAGGAAGGCAGGGTAGGGGTTCTCCCCGAAAAGGTTGGAGGGATGGGGTAAAAGAGGTTTTCTGGGTGAGGGGCTTGGACTTCCAGCAAGTAAGCATGAGTGTGTTAGATAGGAGTGAATGGAGCCGAATAGCTTTTGGGACCTGGTGAGCTGTTGGAGTGTGAGCAGGGTAATATTTTGTGAAAGGATTCAGGGAAACCAGTTAGCTGAACTTGAGTTCTGGAATTGGGAAATAGAATGCCGGCACTTTAAAGGAAGGATTTAGGATATTGGCAATTTGGAGGGACGTCTAAACTGTCATATCTGACGCCTCTGCAAAGACAGTGATTATGTATGAGTGATGGTGAAAGTGTTGAATGATGATGAAAGTTTTTTTTGGGGGGTTTTCTTTCTTTTTGGATTACCCTGCCTCGGTGAGAGGCAGCCAACGTGTTAAGAAAAAAAATTGTCGGTAATTCTACCAACTTCAATAAAGCTCTTCCTGTACCCTGGTTCTCTAGACTTACATTCCATGGTGAATTATCCTTAGTCTTCATTCTGCTTTAGTCTTTTCTAAACTTGACCATTGCAGCAAGTTACTGTATTTTTTCAGCTGCCTTTTCTAAACTTGATGACATTCAACATTATGGTTTGTGTTTTTTTTTTTTTCTCAATTTTTTTGTTCCTTAATTACAGGCTTTCCAAGATCCAGTATCCTGTTAACTTTCATGGCCTTTATTATAAAGCCTATAGAATTATTGATGATATCAGTAAAATTATTAATGTATTTGCATCTCCAGGTACAAACTGATAATTTTTTTTTGAGTCCCTGATTATTCTGGTGATCAGGGTAATGAACTCTCCAGACTTCCCTGCATATTTTGTAGTTAAGGACCTTCTAGTCTCCTGCAGGAAGGGTGCTCTCTGACTATTTTCCAGTACTGTCTTGGCATTTGTAAGGCTGCTGGCAGCATCATTGATCTGAGTTAGTGACTTAAGACAATTTTTAATTATATCAGAATTAGGCTTCGTGCTATTCTCCTTTCATCACTGTTGGTTGAGGGGAACAGTGCAGTTATGGTTGTTGTCTGTATTAAGGGACAATGTAGCACTGTATGACTCATGGAATTAGCATTTTTTGCAAATTCAATAAAAATAATAGACACACATTCATGTTGTGGAGAGCTGCCCAGTGATTGTGTGTGAATTCTAGCATTTTTGGTAGGTTATCCCAATTAACAGTCATATTAATTTTAGTGTCAACCTCTCTCTTTTAATGGCCTGACATGTCTGCTGTTGTCCCACCTCTTTATAAGACTCACTTTGTCTTACGTGAAACTGATTCACTGCATGAACTGTAACTTGATTCTTTCACCACAGTGCTTACTCTCCATGCTTATCTTCTAACATGAGTGCCTCTGTCATGCAGCATTGAACAACCTACATGGGCTTCAGTGCTTTCTGTGAATATATTATGTAAAGTATATTAACTATTATTAGGAGGAAGGATCTTAACATTTCCTTCAAGGTGAAGGGCTATGCTCATGGCTTGGTTGGTAGCATCCTCAGCTCTTGCAGACAGACCAGAGATTAATACTGGGCATATTTCCTTACACCCGTTGCTCCTGTTCATGTAGCAATAAATAGGTACATACCTGTATGTTAGCCAACTGCTCTAGGCTGCATTCTGGGATAGAAGTTTAAAGGATCACCGCAGAAATAACATGGACAGTTCTCAATGATGCATGGGCTTATTGGTTATCCTGGGTAACTAACTTCAGGGATAAAAATCCAAACAAAATTTTATCTAGATAATTGGTGCAACCTCCCTTTTCTTGGATTGAATCTGATTGTCTCCTGTTCCCCCAGCCTCTGTACAACCTGTACAAGATTAGTATTCCCCCATGAATGTAATACATGAATCAAGTCTGATTATTTCCCATTCCCAGGCAGCACTGTATGACCCTCGTGGGTTTAGTGCCCCTTTGTTATGATTGTAATAATAATCCTATTCCCCAGATGCTGTATGATCTCTGAGTTTAGTGCTTCCCCATTAAATGCTGTACCTCCCATCCTGCACCCTGAATAAAGGATAAGGGTGGGAAGTATGGTGCCTGCATTATGAAGGAAGGATGGGGTGGGAAGTATAGTGCCTACACTGGAGGGATGGGATGGGAAGTACAGTGCCTACACTGAAGGATGGGTGGAGGTGAGAAGTAGTGCCTGCACTCTGACAGACGGGGTGGGTGGGACATACAGCGCCTGCACTCTGAATGACGGGGTGGGTGGGACGTACAGTGCCTGCACTCTGACGGACGGGGTGGGTGGGACGTACAGTGCCTGCACTCTGACGGCAGTGGTGAAGTACAGTGCCTACTCTATGAAAGGACGGGTGGAGGTGAGAAGTAGTGCCTACACTCTGACGGACGGGGTGGGTTGGACGTACAGTGCCTACACTCTGACGGACGGGGTGGGTGGGACGTACAGTGCCTGCACTCTGACGGCGGTGGTGAAGTACAGTGCCTACACTATGAAGGATGGGTGGAGGTGAGAAGTAGTGCCTACACTGACGGATGGGGTGAGTGGGACGTACAGTGCCTGCACTGACGGCGGTGGTGAAGTACAGTGCCTACACTATGAAGGATGGGTGGAGGTGAGAAGTAGTGCCTACACTCTGACGGACGGGGTGGGTGGGACGTACAGTGCCTGCACTCTGACGGACGGGGTGGGTGGGACGTACAGTGCCTGCACTCTGACGGCGGTGGTGAAGTACAGTGCCTACTCTATGAAAGGATGGGTGGAGGTGAGAAGTAGTGTCTACACTCTGACGGACGGGGTGGGTGGGACGTACAGTGCCTACACTCTGACGGACGGGGTGGGTGGGACGTACAGTGCCTGCACTCTGACGGCGGTGGTGAAGTACAGTGCCTACTCTATGAAAGGATGGGTGGAGGTGAGAAGTAGTGCCTACACTCTAACGGACGGGGTGGGTGGGACGTACAGTGCCTGCACTCTGACGGCGGTGGTGAAGTACAGTGCCTACTCTGTGAAAGGATGGGTGGAGGTGAGAAGTAGTGTCTACACTCTGACGGACGGGGTGGGTGGGACGTACAGTGCCTACACTCTGACGGACGGGGTGGGTGGGACGTACAGTGCCTGCACTCTGACGGCGGTGGTGAAGTACAGTGCCTACTCTATGAAAGGATGGGTGGAGGTGAGAAGTAGTGCCTACACTCTGACGGACGGGGTGGGTGGGACGTACAGTGCCTGCACTCTGACGGCGGTGAAGTACAGTGCCTACTCTATGAAAGGATGGGTTGTTTCATTTGAAAGGGTCTTTTAATTAAATTGTGACGCCAGCACACTTCTAAGAAGGCAGCTGGATTACGTGAAGCCAGCAGCAACAGCCTGGTTTATCAGGCTCTGAGCCACCCGGAGGGCAGGTCAAAGAGTGTGCCATGGGGGCGTTGACCCTGGAACGACCTCCAGGTGGACTCCTGGTAGGTAGGTAGGGTTCCCTCTCCTTTTGTGGGTCACCCTTCCTTGGTAGGGGTTACTCTACCTTGGTGGGGTCACCCAAATAAAGCTATAATATATATTTTTTTTTTTAATTATTCTTGATTCAATCATCACTTAAGAGAGGTGCCACTGCCCTGTTTCTGAAGTCTTTCATTCCAAGAATTGGAGCTACCTTCTTCCCTTTCCAAGATCAAAGTTCATTACCTCCCTACCTAGTCTCTATATGACCCCCACCTGATTATAATAATAATAATTTCTCCACAATTGTCATAAAAAAATATAATTTCGAACTAGTTAATGAGGCGAGTGTCAGGACTAGTGAGGAAGGCGCCTCACTATTGGCTGGGAGGGTTGTGGCTCAGCCAATCACAGTGCAGGTAACGTCCAGCCACCAGAATTTGAATGTTGTTGTTATGGTGCGAGTGTGTGGAAGGTGCCACCTTATTTCACTATTTTCTCAGCAAGTGACGGCTTAAATATCACCATGATTGTTTAAGAGAGCAGCCTAGGGTACGAAGGGTAACTTGACAATGTTTCTTGGAGCAAGGTGTGGCGGGAGCTGCAATATTCCGTAATAATAACCAAGCTACTGTCATTCTGGTTATCACGATTTGTAGATAAAAATATTTACTGCTCATGTTTACGGGAATCAGTATAGCTCCTGGCCCCACCTCTTGCATATTGACCGGCATGGCTTTTCTGAGCCCTACCATACTTATCTTTGCAATTGTTTTAATTAAACTTAGACCATAAGAATACAAGAATAAAGGAATACTACAGTAGGCCTACTCGCCCATGATAGGCTTGTCCAACTCAGACATATACTTTTCCTACCAAAGTTCTTGCCTCAGTGATGCTGGATGAAGACAAGGCAGTATAATTTATAAAGGCTCCGGGGGAAGGGAGCTTTATCAAGTCAAGTATGTATAGTGAACACCATCTTTCTCCTCGATAGACCTATCTGACTTGATAAAATCCATTGGTTGGGCCAATTTTTATAAAAATTGGAGAGAATTTTTATATTTCTCCAGTGATGCTATATCAAGAGTTTGTTTCACTCGTCTACAACTGTTACCAAACCAATACTTCTCTATATCCTTTCTAAATCTATTTTTTTAAATTTTAATCCATTTCTGAGTTGTGCCTTTATTAAATGCCTATAATTCCGTGCCTTTCCAAAGTGCAGATTCATTCCTTTTCAGAGTGAGATATTACATGAACCCCAATGAAACAAGTCACTGACTCTTTTTGGGGTTATCCTAGGTAATCTACACACATGCTGCTATGTATAATAATGTAACTATTTGTGTGTACCTGTACCTTAATAAACTTACTTATTCATTCCTTTCCAGAGTGCAGATTAGTTGCCTTTGGCCTATTTTCATAGGAAAGGTTTCTGACAAATGCAGTTAACATCTTTATATTTTCCAACACATTTATTTCCATCCTGTAATATGGAGACCAGAACTGAGTAGCATAATCTAAATAAGGCTTCACCAAGGACAATGAAGTGCTGTAGTATAAACCTTATGACTTATACTTCTTGGTATGAAGCTAAGAAGCCTATTAGCTTTAAATTTCTGTTGACCAGAACGCCTAAGTGATTTTTGAATTCATTTTGACTAAGATTTACATTATTTATCTTTAGAGTACTATAGATATTTTGTTTTTCTAGGATTAGACCCTTTACTGGGCAATGGGGGCAGTGACCCCCAAAACTCTAGATATTACATCTACCACTTCTCTGACTTATTCAAGTCATCCTGAAGCTTTTTAGTGTCCTCATCAGAACTGATCTTTTGGCGTATTTTAGTGTCATCAGCAAACTTGTGTTGCTATTTACTCTCTTGTATGTCTTATGTACATGTAGATTGTAAACAAGGATCCCACTACTGACTCCTTGTCATACCACTCATTCTGATTTCTCCCCATTTGTGCACACACTGTGAGCCATGACTTCACCAAAGAAATCATTTCTATGCCATGTGCCATTACTCTCATAATCAGTCTCCTGTGTAAGACTATCAAAAACCTTGCAGAATTTTTATTTAGATTCTTTATTTCCAGTCACTGCATTTGCAAAATACAGTATAAAATCAAAGTCCACAGGATGCATTGTGTATTCTTTATCTTAGTATAATGCTTCTAATATCTTAGTGAAAAAGGTTAATAAATTCAAAAGACAAGAATACCCCTTTGTAAAATAGTGTTGAAATGTGTTGATGAAATGTAGCTTTGAATTGCATTGACAGTATTGATTCTACGTACAGTGCTATGTACCCTCTACTTGCCATGCCATTAGACTTTGTGCAGTTAATAGTGCATATCCTACTCTAGTTTTTATACATTTTTTGTCAGTCAACAACCCTGGTTACCTACATATAAATATTGATATAAACATTGGCAACTGATACCGCCAAGGTGTAAAAAGAAGTAAGCAAATACTAGGACACAGCTTAGGACCAATTTGCCTGTCAAGATAGTGATGGAGTGAATGATGATGAAAGGTTTTCTTTTTTGGGCCACCCTGCTTTGGTGGGAAATGGCCAGTGTGTTAATAATAATAATAATGAAAATATTTTTATTTACTATTTCATTGTTATACTTTTATACTTAACTTTTTAAAAGTTCCTCTTTTATTTGATTATCAGTTTTGACACTAGAGAGCATATGTCACTTATACTGTCCTGTAATAAAATCCTAGTGTATAATTAATTATGAAGGTTCACTCCATGTACCTGCCTCATATATCAATATCTATAGGGATATGTAAGTTGCAGAGTAAACACAGCTCTACTCTATGGTATCAAATGTGACAAAATCTAGTAAAAGTTATTTGTACTGTATATCTTTTGTTGACTTTCAGGATGAATCTGTCACTAAAGCAGAATGATGGGGGTAGCAATAATTGTAGTATACAGCAGCAGCTGTGGAATCTACGTCATGAAGACCCCACGCAGTACCACACACTCGTCAAGATGCATCTCTCTTTTGCCACAGACCTCCCTACAGACCAGTATGAAATTATAAAAGTGTACAGCATATTTGCCTATGTCTTCTTTACTACTTTTTTATATTTGATTTTAATAACTGGAATACTACAATAATTATATTAATTTCCATAGCATCATTTTGTACCTAGATAGTTTGTACATTGTGAAGACATATATTAGTATAGGTCGGCCATCACTAATCCGGCAATCAGTTATCCAGTTCCATCAGTAATCCGGCACTAATTTCGGCTAGCATGATTTCAAATTTCATCATTATACTGACTCAAATTTCATCATTATATGTACTGACTCAGAAATTGTGCAGATGCTTGTAAATCCACAGCAGCAAGCCAGTGGAGGAGAAAGCAGTGATGAAAATGAGAAAGATGTAGCAGTCTCTCTGTTGATAGGTTAATTAAGTGTATTCTAACCTAACCATTCTGTAATTTGGCAAACTCACTAATCTGGCATGCTACAGGTCCCAATGATGCCAGATTAGTGATGGTCAACCTGTACCTATGTATTTAATTCCATAAATTCATAAGTGTTTGTCTGGTACCTGGCAGATTGTAATAAAATACAAACTTAAAAAAAAAAAGATAAAGTACAAGACAAAAGTTCTTTTTTTTTTTTTTTTAAAGTGTTTAAATGAGAGAGAAAATTGAACATGTACATATACAATAACCCCTTCTCCTGTGCACATTACTAAACATAGAGAGAACCCCTGCCTTGGTGGGATACGGCTGGTTTGTTAAAAGATGATGATGATTATATGGAGACAAAAAATTTTGGACTGCTTTCTGTGAATTATTTCGCAAGCATTGTAGTGAAGACCAGGCATTTTCACGAAACTAAACCTTTGTGATTATTCCCATGGATGGTTGGTCAAGTTTAAGAATTGCTGTGGTAGTCATCTGGCTAAACCATATGGGAAAGGGGCTTATGTGGATCATGCTGTGGATTATTTTTTCTGAATTGGGTTCTTTACTGGAGAGAGTGGCTGCTGTAGCATGCATATGTATATTTCAGTGACTGGAATGTGACTGCCTTGGGAAGTTCTAGAATATCTACTTTCCTTCTAAATTTTTTCTTTGAAGCTGTGAAGGAAGAGCAAATGAACAAACTTCCAGCAGACGATGGCATTTGGCACCACTGATCAGGAAACTGGGCCGTGTTGCTGTACCCAACAAGGGAGTGATGGAGGGGGCTCCACTCACACAAGAAGGGGTGTGCCAAGCCTTTCAACTAATACACTACCTCAATAAAGATTACAGTATGTATTAGCATTGTTAATCTTTACTCTGGTCTTCAGGTTTTTCTTAAAGAGTGATTAAAGACTTCATCCTTCATCCTCTTGTTACTATTTGTGCCAATTTTTTTCTACCTTAAATCTCCTCTTTTTGAACAAATACCCATGTGCACCTCACAACATGGAGAAGATAGATAAGATTTTTTATTTACTTTATAAGCCCCCTTTTTTTTTTTTTAACAAGTCTGCCATCTCCCACCGAGGCAGGGTGACCCAAAAAGAAAGAAAATACTCTCATCATTCAACATTTTCACCTCACTCATACATAATCACTGTTTTTGCAGAGGTGCTCAGAACACTATCTTTTATATGCTGTATTAATTTAAAATTTCTAGTTTCCTTGTGGTAGATTTGGTAATTAGTTATTTTTGAGACCTATCAGTCAGTATCTCGAGTGACCTTAAAGTGGGCAGGAAGTCAGTCTATATAGAGTCCATCCATTTTTGTCTAATGTGCTGTTCACATTGGCAAAACTTGTTTCCCATGATGCTGCTAAGTTTGTAAGGTACTAAGGTACCACAGCAACTGATTATCATCCTGTATATCTTTTAACCCTTTTTATTATTCATTATTCTGATGAAAAATTAGACGTGTGTGCAACATCTGGGTATCTTTATTGTAGGCATTTTGCTATCCAGTGGCTTTATCAATACAGATTCAAGGACATAATTGGAAGACAGGAGAACTATATATAAAAGATGAGGTAATCAGTCCCTCAGCCTTGGAGTTGGTGTGAAGAGCACCATAGTCATGAAATCGAGAATCTTCAAACTCACTGAGGGACTGATTACCTCATCTTTTGTATACAGTTCTCCTGTCTTCCAATTATTTTTTTTTTAACAAGTTGTCCTCGTCCACCAAGGCAGGGTGACCCAAAAAGAAAGAAAATTCCCGAAAAGAAAATACTTTCATCATCATTCAACACTTTCTGCTCACTCATACATAATCACTGTTTTTGCAGAGGTGCCCAGAACACAACAGTTTAGAAGCATATACATATAAAGATACACAACATATCCCTCCAAACTGCCAATATCCCAAACCCCTCCTTTAGTGCAGGCATTGTACTTCCCATTTCCAGTACTCGAGTCTGGCTATATAAAAATAACCGGTTTCCCTGAATTCCTTCGCTAAATATTACCCTGCTCACACTCCAACAGCTCGTCATGTCCCAAATACCATTTGTCTCCATTCACTCCTATCTAACATGCTCACGCATGCGTGCTGGAAGTCCAAGCCCCTCACCCCAAAACCACCTTTACCCCCTCTCTCCAACCTTTTCGAGGACAACCCCTACCCTGCCTTCCTTACCCTATAGATTTATACGCTCTCCATGTCATTCTTTGATCCATTCTCTCTAAATGACCAAACCACCTCAACAACCCCTCTTCAGCTCTCTTGACTGATACTTTTATTAACTCCACACCTTCTCCTAATTTCCACACCGAATTCTCTGCATAATATTTACACCACACATTGCCCTTGGACAGGACATCTCCACTGCTTCCTCGCTGCAGCATTTACACCCCAAGCTTCACATTCATATAAGTGTGTTGGTACCACTATACTTTCATACATTCCCTTCTTTGCTTCCATAGATAATGTTTTTTGTCGCCACATATACCTCAATGCACCACTCACCTTTTTTCCTTCATCAATTCTATGGTTAACCTCATCCTTCATACATCCATTCGCTGACACGTCAACTCCCTGATATCTGAAAACATTCAATTCTTCCATACTACTCCTCTCCAATTTGATATCCAATTTTTCTTCATTTAAATCATTTGATACCCTGATCACCTTACTCTTTTCTATATTCACTTTCAACTTTCTACCTTTACACACACACCCAAACTCGTCCACTAACCTTTGCAACTTTTCTTTAGAATCTCCCATAAGCACAGTATCATCAGCAAAAAGTAACTGTCAATTCCCATTTTGTATTCGATTCTCCATAATTTAATCCCACCCCTCTCCCGAACACCCTAGCATTTACTTCTTTTACAACCCCATCTATAAATATATAAAACATCCATGGTGATATTACACATCCCTGCCTAAGACCCACCTTTACTGGGAAGTAGTCACCCTCTCTTCTACACACCCTAACCTGAGCCTCACTGTCCTCATAAAAACTCTTTATAGCATTTAGTAACTTACTACCTATTCCATATACTTGCAACATCTGCCACATTGCTCCCCTATCCACTCTATCATATGCTTTTCTAAATCCATAAGTGCAATGAAAACTTCCCTACCTTTATCTAAATACTGTTCACATATATGCTTCAATTTAAACACTTGATGTACCCATCCCCTACTCACTCTAAAACTTCCTTGCTCATCCGCAATCCTACATTCTGTGTTGCCTCTAATTATTTTTTTTTTTTTTTTATTATCACACTGGCCGATTCCCACCAAGGCAGGGTGGCCCGAAAAAGAAAAACTTTCACCATCATTCACTCCATCACTGTCTTGCCAGAAGGGTGCTTTACACTACAGTTTTTAAACTGCAACATTAACACCCCTCCTTCAGAGTGCAGGCACTGTACTTCCCATCTCCAGGACTCAAGTCCGGCCTGCCGGTTTCCCTGAATCCCTTCATAAATGTTACTTTGCTCACACTCCAACAGCACGTCAAGTATTAAAAACCATTTGTCTCCATTCACTCCTATCAAACACGCTCACGCATGCCTGCTGGAAGTCCAAGCCCCTCGCACACAAAACCTCCTTTACCCCCTCCCTCCAACCCTTCCTAGGCCGACCCCTACCCCGCCTTCCTTCCACTACAGACTGATACACTCTTGAAGTCATTCTGTTTCGCTCCATTCTCTCTACATGTCCGAACCACCTCAACAACCCTTCCTCAGCCCTCTGGACAACAGTTTTGGTAATCCCGCACCTCCTCCTAACTTCCAAACTACGAATTCTCTGCATTATATATTCACACCACACATTGCCCTCAGACACGACATCTCCACTGCCTCCAGCCTTCTCCTCGCTGCAACATTCATCACCCACGCTTCACACCCATATAAGAGCGTTGGTAAAACTATACTCTCATACATTCCCCTCTTTGCCTCCAAGGACAAAGTTCTTTGTCTCCACAGACTCCTAAGTGCACCACTCACTCTTTTTCCCTCATCAATTCTATGATTCACCTCATCTTTCATAGACCCATCCGCTGACACGTCCACTCCCAAATATCTGAATACGTTCACCTCCTCCATACTCTCTCCCTCCAATCTGATATTCAATCTTTCATCACCTAATCTTTTTGTTATCCTCATAACCTTACTCTTTCCTGTATTCACCTTTAATTTTCTTCTTTTGCACACCCTACCAAATTCATCCACCAATCTCTGCAACTTCTCTTCAGAATCTCCCAAGAGCACAGTGTCATCAGCAAAGAGCAGCTGTGACAACTCCCACTTTGTGTGTGATTCCTCTAATTATGTCCTTGAATTTGTATTGATAAAGCCACTGGATGGCGAAACGTCTACAATAAAAGATACCCAGATGTTGATATTGTATACCATTCATGTACAATTTATGTTTCTGTTCTTGGTAGGTGTTTTTCCACTTCATGAATTTGGAAAACTAGATATTCATAAAGATGATAAACTGAGGTGGTCTTTAATATTATGATTAATGTTGGAGGCAGTGATGTCCTGTCTAAGGGCAATGTGTGGTGTAAATATTATGCAGAAAATTTGGAGTGTGGAAATTAGGAGAAGGTGTGGAGTTAATAAAAGTACATGTATTAGTCAGAGGGCTGAAGAGGGGTTGTTGAGGTAGTTTGGTCATTTAGAGAGAATGGATCAAAGTAGAATGACATGGAGAGCGTATAAATCTGTAAGGGAAGGAAGGTGGGGTAGGGGTCGTCCTCGAAAGGTTTGAAGGGAGTCAGTAAAGGAGGTTTTGTGGGAGAGGGGCTTGGACTTGCAGCAAGTGTGTGTGAGTTTGTTAGGAGTGAATTGAGACGAATGGTATTTGGGACCTGACGAGCTGTTGGAGTGTGAGCAGGCTAATATTTAGTGAAGGGATTCAGGGAAACCGGTTATTTTATATAGCCGGACTTGAGTCCTGGAAATGGGAAGTATAATGCCTGCACTTTAAAGGAGGGGTTTGGGATATTGGCAGTTTGGAGGGATAGGTTGTGTATTCTTTATACGTATATACTTGGTAGACAGCAACCACCCAGGGAAGTACTACCGTCCTGCCAGATGACTGTGAAACAAAAACCTGTAACTGTTTTGCATGATGGTAGGATTGCTGGTTTTCTTTTTCTGTCTCAGAAACACGCTAGATAACAGGGATATCTTGCTACTCCTACTTACACTTTGGTCACACTTCACAGACACGCACATGCATATATATATATATACATACATCTAGGTTTTTCTCCTTATTCTAAATAGCTCTTGTTCTTTTTTATTTCTAATATTGTCCATGGGGAAGTGGAAAAGAATCTTTCCTCCGTAAGCCATGCGTGTCGTATGAGGCGACTAAAATGCCAGGAGCAATGGGCTAGTAACCCCTTCTCCTGTATACATTTACTAAAAAAGAGAAGAAGAAAAACTTTATAAAACTGGGTTGTTTAAATGTGCGTGGATGTAGTGCGGATGACAAGAAACAGATGATTGCTGATGTTATGAATGAAAAGAAGTTGGATGTCCTGGCTCTAAGCGAAACAAAGCTGAAGGGGGTAGGAGAGTTTCAGTGGGGGAAATAAATGGGATTAAATCTGGAGTATCTGAGAGAGTTAGAGCAAAGGAAGGGGTAGCAGTAATGTTAAATGATCAGTTATGGAAGGAGAAAAGAGAATATGAATGTGTAAATTCGAGAATTAATGTGGATTAAAGTAAAGGTTGGATGCGAGAAGTGGGTCATAATAAGCGTGTATGCACCTGGAGAAGAGAGGAATGCAGAGGAGAGAGAGAGATTTTGGGAGATGTTAA